TATGTTTGGGCTTCCCTGGTGGCTCAGATGGTAAAGAATCCACCTGTAATGCAGGAGACCTGGGTTCAATCCCTGGGTTGGGAAGATCCCCTGGAGAAGGGAAAGGTTACCCACTCCAGTATTCTTGCCTGGAGAATTCCATGGACAGTGGGGCCTGGTGGGCTGCAGTCCATGGGGGTCTCAAAGAGTTGGACACAACTAAGCAACTAATGCAACAACAAAAATAAAATGGAAATGAATATTCATCACTCTATGAGGACTTGCATGAATATGAGTTCCTAAAAACCAGTATCTTCTAGATAGGTGTAGGTCATTTTCCAAAGTCCTACAGTTCATTGTAGAACACTTACACGATTTATCACCTTTTTTGTAAAATAAAAACATAAGTGCTGAACCCAAAGTCCCTTCAGATGTTATATCTCTCACCCCTGATGACGTTTCTTTCATTTCTTTTCTTTATTGCAGATGCAGTGTTCATTACAGAAAAAAAAGTGAAGAAATAAAGACACTCAGAACAGCCATAATCCTATTCATTCAGCTTGGTGTATATCACCGCTCACTGCCTTGCACTGTCATTTCCAGTGTACCATGGATCAGTGTCCTAGTAATCAGACCAACCCTGGGTCCCTCTGCAAGTCCCATGTCTTACCCATGCTCCCGTATGAGGAACATGAAAGAAGTCCTCACAAGTTAGGGATGGCAGAGACCCCAACATCAAAAGTCTCACTTCTAGAAGACTCCCTTTTCACCCCATGCTCACCCTCCAGCAGTACCTTGGCGGGGATGGCACCGCTGTTCTTGAGGATAAGAGGCAGTGTCTCCGAATGACCAAGCAGAAGCCTCTTAAAGAGAAGTAAGGGGTTTCTATACTGGTTGTAGAGAACTGGCCGCACAATGGTCACCCGAGGGAGGTTCCCCTCTCCAACGATATCAAACACAAGGCTTCGGTTCTTGGTCAGGTTGCTGCAGGGGACGGGAAGATAGAGGCCAGTCAGCTTAGCAAGGCAGGAAGGACATTCCACAGAGAGCGTGGCCTGCAGCCCTGCTGGAGGAGGGGAGCTGGGGAGCTGGTACCTGGGCAAGCCGTCCAAGGTGGCCTCAAAGATGCACTGGTAGGTCTGCATGGTCTGTGGGGTGAAGAACACTGTGGCAAAGGCGTGTGAGCGGCTCGCAACACTCATCTTGTTGGGTTCCACTTCAAAGATGTCCGTGATGCGGGCATAGACCTGGAAAGGGGAAGGGGAGCAGGGACTGGCGTGTATGCCACTTGGTGTTTACAAAGGGCTTGCTGCTCATCTCTACTGGCCCCGCTTTGACTTCCCTCCTCTAAACTCTGTGCAGGCCTGTCCCACTACTTGGACAATCCTGCTCTTGGAAGGTATGGCCTGGGTTCTTGGGGACCCAATCCTAGGCATTAATTGGGTGGACTTGGCCAGACTCGTGGTCTTTGCAATTAGATGAACTAAACTGTATCTTGGATAGCAGATCCACCTCACCCCACCCCCACTTTTCTCTCTCTCTCTCTCTCTCTCTCTCTCTCACACACACACACACACACACACATAAATTTAAGATGCCAGAGACCCCTGGTGGTTACTGAAGTGAGGTTTGGCCTGGAAGCCAGACCAGAGAGAAGAGCAATGGAGATACCATGTGTGAGAGACACGTGGTCTTTGGCAGATGATCTTCTGAAAGTTTGATTTTAGCTGACAATTCCAGTCAGTCTCCCAGGCCTCCGGCTACAGGCTGTGTTCCATCCTGCATGTGAGGTCTCGGATTCACCAAAGCAAACCTTGATATGGTGGAGCCATTCTGAGTGGGTTTCTGCTCCTTGCAATTCTAAGAGTGCTAGTTAGAACCATCTCCTGTAGCACTTTATCTGCTCCTGTCTTGGGGCAGTGTTTGGGAAAGGCTGCGGGCACGACCTCTAAAGGATTTTTTGTTCTCATGGGAGGCAGGTGGGATTCAAGAGTGACGATTCCTTCTTGCTCTTAAGCTGAGAGTATAATTTCTTTGCCCTTTCCAAAGGATAATCTGCCAATTAAGGAAGGACGACAGAATGCATTTGTCTGGAAAAGTGTGGGCCTCAGTCTCTGGGCCCCTGAGGCCACGTGAGGCAGATTCAGCTAGGGATGCACCCATCACCAAAGGTTAATACGGTGCGATGTCTGAAGCCTGGGCTAGAAGGTGAAGCACATCAGTGCCTACTGATTCATGGAATGAATGGAACTGCTCAAGAGGTACTAGGTTTCTCTGTAGTCCATTTTCCCAAAGGGGTGGAAGAAATAGAGAGGAACTGGTGCCTGGGTAACTACTTAGTTACACTGGGTAGATTGGAATGATAAGACTTGTTCCATCCCTTTACTTTTGAGTTACTGTAAAAGGTCTTGTAAGAGCCAGAAATTAAAATTTTGCTTTATGTAAAAAAAGAAAAAAACACAGGAGGACAACAACATAATGTCTACAAATCCCTGTTAAAAACCTATCTTTGTTTAGAAGTCAGGCTTGCTCATCTCTTATGTGTTTAGCAATGGAATAGGGAGAAAGCTGCCCTTTCCTGTCCCGAGAAGGTCAGAAAGTGCTGACAGTCTCTCAACCCCTGGCCCTCTGCAGTGATGCTTCCCCAAGAATGCACACTACTGTCAGCTCTAGGCTAGGCCAGTCCTCTAGGTCACCTCCCCACCACTGTTAGCTGTGAGAACTTACTCTCATGTGACTCTGGGGCACAAGGACCACCAGGGTCAAGACTCTACCTTTGGCTAGAGAACTGATGTGGCTGAGAGACACTAGGCAGTGTTTGCAGCACACTGACTGGAAATTAACAGGAGTGAAACCCACTGACTCAGTCCTTTCTCTTGGTCTCCTGAATTTTCTGTTCCACGGCAAGCAAACAGTGTCTCAGTATGGTCCAACTTAGAGAGGAAAGGCAGTTTTGGTCTGGCAGAGCCCAAGACAGACACTTATTTTCTACCTGGTATTGACTCAGATGGTAAAGAATTTGCCTGCAATGCAGCAGACCTGGGTTTGATGCCTGGGTCGGAAAAATCCCCTGGAGAAGGGCGTGGCAGCCCACTCCAGTATTCTTGCCTGGAGAATCCCATGGACAGAGGAGCTTGGTGGGCTACAGTCCAGGGGGTCACAAAGAGTCAGACATGACCGAGTGATTTTCACTTCTGCTACTAAGCGGACGAAGCTGGGTTTTAAACCGAACTATATATCCCTAGGCTATGGATCCTAGGGGAAGAATGCAGCATTTTTGAGTCTCAATTTTCCTAATGATAAAATGGGGAGAATAATACAAAATCTGATAATACAAACTTTTGAGGGTGAAATGAGATAAATGAACATCAGCTCAGTGCTCAGAATACAGCAGGAGCTCAATAAATGCACCTCATCTTACACTTTATAGAGTGACATCTCCCAAACCTCTTTTGCCAGCCCAGTGTGCTCCTTGAGCAGCCTGCCAGAGCTGGCACTACACTTCGGCTCTCCCCACAGTCTCTGTCCTGTAGATGCGGTGAGTGTCTGGTGCGGGAGTGCTCCGCTCTGTCATGTGAGCCCGTTTATCACAAGGTACCCAGAGAAGACATCCCCTGGGATAGACGCACGTCCCCTCACATAACTTCCAGGGAGGCCGAGAGCCAGAAAATTCCCACTAGAGATGCAGGCTCCATAGCAGGGGTTTCCAAGAGCTCCCGCCCTGGCTTTATGCCAACCACAGTGGACCAGGGCCATGGTGGACCAGTCCAATCAGGTGAACTGGGGCTACCTACCTTGTTGGAGATGGGCTTAACCACGATGTTCACGTCACAGGCGATCTTTCCCACATTGCAAATCTTGAACCGAGCCTTGGCCTGATGGCCCACCAGGACATTGCAGAAGATGAACTTGTTCTCATCCTCCACATACAAGCCCCCGCTCTCTATGGTCTGCAGGATGCTGTTCAGGTTGGCGCTGCTACAGAGCTGGTGCTCCTCAAATATCAAGCTGTTGTTGTCAGTCACAAAGGCTGGGGAGTGGAGGGAAGACTGTGAGATGGAGCTTAAGTGCCCGGTTTCTACTCTCTGTAATCCCTAACTTGGAGATTCAGACTCCGACAAAGGACAATCACAGGGGAGAGACAGGGGGATTCATACAAGGGAGTGTGAGGGGTGGGACAAATTCTATCTTCTCTTCCTTTTTGGACTGCTTTTGCTGGTCTCCAGACTCCAACCACCTTCTCCTTCCAATGGAAAGGAGGATGAGATCTGGGGTGAGCTGAGTAAAGGAGGAGGCATTCAGCTCACTTTGGTGCAAGTTTGCTGGGGACCTAGCATCAAAGCAAGAGGAGCTGTCTCTGTGCTCCAAACTTGCTCTGTCCCTGATCATTACTCCCTGGGAACATTTGCACAGGGAGTGGTCTGGCCACTGAAACCCAGGAAGATCTCAGCTGAGCAGAATTCAGTATTCCCAGGTCACCCTGCACCACACCCCATCACACCACGATTCCCAGATAACACTGTCCATCTGAGAATCCTGGACCAAACTCAGGAAGACCTGGAATTTAAAGCTGCACATCCTCTTCTAGGTGTGTGCATGCCCTGTAAGTCTTTAAGGAAAAATATGGCTGAAGACACCACAGGAAGTTCTAAGGTCCCAAAGGAAGAAGCGTAGCAATGTCTATTAGGTGCCTGCAGGGGGAGGGGTCTGTTATAGAGGAAGGTCTTTTAAGGGGTGCTGCCCCATCTGAGCACTCAGTACCTGGCTGACAGGCTTCAGCCAACAGGCTGTATGGGATGCCAGCCGGCTGGTCTCTTGGATCTCGGTCAGAGATATCAATTGCTATGAACTCTTCACATCTTCCCACGGGGTCAGCCACGCAGTCAACAGTGATGACCTGCGTCCCTCCAGAAGGGATGGTACCAAACCCAGGGTACACGGTGAACATGCCGTGGGTGAAACGAGCCTGCAGGAGGGGCAGAGGCAGAGTAAGTGGCAGGGTTTGAGTAAGCGGCAGGGTCTGAGCCCTTCCACCAGTCATGAGATGGTGTCAAGAGGGACTGGGCGGCGGGGGTGGGGGGCCCTCCCACAAGCTCTCCCTGGGCCCCAGCTGTGCTCCTGGGGGCCTGGGGGGCCGGGGGTGGGGCGGGCAGTCCTCAGGAACAGGCGCTCTCAGCCTTCTTTCTCTACATACCCCTTCTGAGCAGTCACGGTAAGTGCGGGTTTTAAGGAAACAGACACATTCCACATAGTGTGACACTTGTCCAGATGGGAAGCTCCCAGCAGAGGGGCAGGGCTTAAGAGTATCGACCTTTGTGACAGACAGTCCTGGGTTTGAATCGCAGCCTTCAAACCCTCCTGTGTATTAACTGTTGGACCTTGGTCAAGTGACTTCTCTGAGTCTCAGTTTTATCCAGAAAACGGAGCTAAAGCCTTTACCCTGAGACCACTGGAGGCTTCAGTGAAAGAATGTGCAGGAAGCAGTTAACAAAGCAATGGGCACAGAATCTGCTCAAAACATGGGATGTTATCATGCACTCCTCTGGGTTTTAGGAGCTTCCTTCCTTTTTTTGCCCTCTTGTAATTGCATTTTGAAGCATTTTTATGTTGGTTGCTTTACCATATTTGTCATATAACTCTAACATTTTGGTCATCTCAGTGTTGGCATCTATTGCTTACCTATTTTCACTTAGTTTGAGATCTTCCAGCTTCTTGATATGCTGAGTGATTTTCAGTGGAAACCTGGACATTTTGGATATTACATGATGAGACTCTGGATCCTACTAAGCTTCTCTTTGAGCTGGCTTTCTCAGACACCTCTTGGGTGGGGACAGTAGTCCAGATTCCATACTGGACTTTTTACTGCTGCCAGGCAAGGGTGGGAGTTCCAGTTCCCCACTAGTCTTAGACCAGGATCACCCTCGGAGGTGGAGGGGGGAGGGTAATAGTGTCTCATTACTGTTCTGCTGATTCCACAGAGTAGGAGGTCCACTGGGGGGAGGGGAAGGGCAGCTCATTTCCACAGGGTTGGCGTGGAAGTCAAGGCTTCTCAATTGGTGTCTCTGTTGACAATGGCTGAGGTGGTGGTGGGTAATGAATGAATTTCTGGCTCTCTGCTGAGTGTTCTTGGATATCACTTTGACCTCATTACAGCCTGAATTGAGTAGGAAGTCTAGGTTCCCTGTAGGTCTTTTCTTGAAATATGTGGTATAGGACCACAGATTTCTCTGTCATGTTTGACTGTAATATTACAGCTCTTATTTGAACATTCCTGTCGTGCTAGACTACCCTTTTTCTGGCTCTTTGGCTAGTGAGAGCGGGCTTTTGGTCTGTGCGTATTGATGTTTCTGGATTGCTGGCTCCCTCAGTACCAAATCTGAGAAGTACGAAGTAAGAAGAAATCTCAGGGAACTCATCACTGTGATGTCTATTGGGTGCTAAGAACCTTAGCTGGTGTGAAGTTTTTTTCTCTCTGTTCCTCAGTCTTCTATATTTGTTTTATACATAACATTCATGGTTTTTAGTTGTACTTATTTGTAAGAATAGGGAACAATCATCTACTTCATATTACCAGAAGTAAAAGCCTTCAAATCTTCTTTCATTTAAGCCAATCTGAATGGGCTTTTGTTTTGTATCAACAAATGATTCTTTTTTAATTTTATTTCTGGCTGTGCTGTGTCTTCCTTGCTCTGTGTGAGCTTTCTCAAGTTGCAGTGAGCAGGGGCTGCTCTTTGCTGCAGCGTGCGGCCTTCTCATTGCAGCGGCTTCTCCTGTTGCAGAGTACAGGCTCTGGGTGCATGTGCTTCGGCAGCCGCAGCACACAGGCTCAGGAGTTGTGGCCCACAGGCCCACATGCTCTGCAGCATGTGGAATCTTCCTGTGGAATCTTCGGACCCTCGTCCCCTGCATTGGCAGGGGGATTCTTATCCACTGTACCACCAGGGAAGTCCAACAAAAGATTCTTGATGAAAATACTTATGAAGAGTAGACACTAATTGTAAAGCAATGAGGAACCAATGAAGGTTTTAAAGCAAAAGAGGACATCCAAATTAAAAGTCACAGTTCCTCATTTTAATATGAAAGTGATAGTTTCATTACAACTAATGTTCCTGCCATAGTAGGAATATTCAAAATTCAAATCCTGGTATCCTTGGGAATTATCTGTTGGGAGAACTAGTTTGCAGGAGGCCTTACAGGGTTTCTGTTGAACAAAGAAAAGGGTGCTCACCTGGCTTGTGACGTTCACGTCTTTCTGAACAGAGTCAGAGAACTTGCTTGTTTTGGAAGGTCCAGTCTTGTAGAAGTTCTCGCTTTCTCGGGATCTTGCATGTCTAACATGGGTGGCTCTGATTAAAGAAGTGGGAATACACCCTCAGGGTGGGGTAATCATGAAATACCACCTACCTGCTTGCTTGCAAAGTCCCTTCTTCTTGGAATGGAGGAAAGGGCCTTTCCTTGCCCAGAGGGCATCAGGGAGCATGGTCAACTTATTTATTAACAGCCAAACTCATTTAACAAGTATGAGAAAAGTATGCAGAAATTATACATATTAACTATGACTCATAAGGACATTAAAATTACTGCAAGTAAATAATAATTGTAAATGTTTGCCAAAATGGAAGAGGAGTTAAATTTACTCGTATTACTCCACCAAAACATGAAATGATTGCAAACAATGTAAAGCTGTGTGTCTGATTTAAAACAATTAATTAGAAAGTCAGCCTTAAATGACTATTAAGAAAGTCAGTTCATTAGAAAGCCAAGACAAAGTACCTGGGAATTGGTAAAAATAGTCCCTAATTTGTAAAAAAAACACACCAAAAACCAAGAATATGACAATCAAATCAAAGCCAAAAGCACTCAAAAACATGAACTGTTTCGGTTAGTTGACTGACAAACACTTTGTGAAAATTACAGTTCTTTGTTGGAACAATTATTAAATTAGTTACAGTGATTGAGTGTCTTCATGGGGACAAGGTAAAGACAGTCCCAGGAAGGTAGAGGCCTCACCAGTTTTTCTCTAGTCCAAATTTCTAGGGTACTCTTTGCTATCCCTCATATCATGAAACATCATGTTTTCTTTTGATTTAGCTTGCTGTTATAATTATCCCTTGACTTCTACAGAATGACAGACAGGAAGTGACTTACTGGTAAGCAACGTAGCACACTAGGCACATCGAGACAACAGACACAATCCCAAGCAGGAGACTTTACATTTATTCAATTAACATGCATCGCATGTTGGACAGCAGTTGAAAAGCATGTGAAATTTGGAGTCAGAGATGTGAGTTCAGAACTGAGATTCACTGGTGATTTTTTTGATAATCTTGGATGAGCCATTTCTAAACCTTAGTAACCTCATCCATGAAGGGGGATTGGGTGGATGAGTTTAGATAAAATATATGAAAGCTCATGGGAGAATAAAAAGCACCAATTAACCAGGGGATGTTTTGAGTTAAGTAAATACTTGTCTTACACTTTCTTCTGATGAAGGGGGCTCTCTGCTGTCGTTCTATACAGAGCATATTTGAAGTCGATCACACCTAGATTTTCTATGGTGAAGAAGGTGCTTTTACGAGTGCCATAGATCAAAGCCCCGAAGTTGATGATGGAGGAGGGGCTGATATTGTATTTGGAGAACACCGCAGTCACAGAAAACTTAATCGGGATGCTGGCAATCATTTCACCTCCTTCTGAGATATTAGGCTCAATAATCTAGAAAGGGAAGACAGATTGGGAAGATGTCAGCTACCAGAATAACAGTTGCCAGCATAATGTCTATGGCTGTCTACTCCATTCCTTATTTTCTTCATTGACACAAAGCCATATGTAATTACATTGATAATACGAGTAAAGGCTAACATGAGACTTACTGTGTATCAGCTATGGGTCAACATGCACCAACTCTGCCTCCCATTATCACTTCCCCCTTTTCTTTGGCACTTGATGACTGAACTCAGCCTCCCTGTCTCTGGTCTGGTCTCTTCCAAAGACCGGGGGCCACGTTTCTTCTCTGGAGCTCCAATCTCTGATGACTCTGAACACCTCCCACCTAACCTATCTGTGCCTGTGGATCCCCAGGCCCTGGTGAACCCTGTCTGGTGGCCACCAGGTCCGCCCTCCCTTTCCCCCTCAGGGCATGGGTCAGACTACATAAGCTTCATTTTGGCACCTGCCACCGTGGGAGTCATCCCTTCAAGCTCTCTTACCTGACAGCGCAGAACTGGCTGGTTCTCGATTTTCACTTCCTTCTTTGCGTGGAAGATCACCTGGACATTTGTGGGCTTTTCTGTCATGGTCAGTGAGCCCTTCTTGGGTTGCACTGTGATCATGGAACTTATATTGGTTGCTGAAATCCCTACGGATTCCACAGAAAAGCTGAGTGACAAGAAGAAAAAGTCAGTTTAAGTCATTATCTAGGGAGCTCAAGACACCAGAGATGAGACTCTAGGCTGTAAGCACCTGCCAGGTCCCCAGCCCCGTTTAACCACTATGGCGAGCAATGTTCACTGTGCTCTGTACTTGGTGACCACTCCTTAGCCAGGATCGACCAGCCAGGCACTGAGGCTTGAGGCCAAGATAGCCATCTCCAGCCGTGGTTAAGAGATGTCCTTGCAGGGGAGCTCTGTCCAACAGGAACACGTGATATTGGATAAGGACCAAATCAAGTCATTTCTCCCTCTCCCTGCCTCTCTGTCTCCCTCTCTCTCTCTCTGTCTCCCTTCTTGCTCTAAGACTGAATGCAGTAGACATAGAGGGAGCAGGAATGCAGAAGCTGGGGGATCTAAGGAAGGACTGAAAGGGCAGGGGCAGGAGTCATCCAACCGAGGTGTTCAGAAGCGCAGCCCTGGTCCAATGCAAGTGAGATGAGAGGCCGCAGAGAAAAGCTTGGGGACTGGAGCTGGAGCAAGAAACCTCAGCTGAGGCGAGACGCGTGGAGTTGCCATAGGGACCCACATGTCATCCCCATGCTCACTCCAGGAGATCTGGCCTTCACTGCAGCCTGCATGCTGCCTGAGCTGCCTCACCTCCCTGCACATCCATCCTCTCAGTGAACCCTGACCACCTGCTCCAACTTGAGGGAGACTGTTCCACGCAGCCTAAAAGAGCAGGGGTAACACCCATCATAATCTATAAAATAAAACTCACAACATGCAAGATTCCATTCAGCGCTAATTCCAAAGTGACTGTGGCTGTCTTCTAGGTTTGTTTAGCATTTATTTATATTAACCTATTTCATTTTCTAGTTCTAAGAAACAGCAGTATTGAGGTGGGACCTCTCTAGTTTCAGCATTCTTTGAACTGAAATGAAACACTCATGAATATACGGAGTTCCTATTAAGTCTGTGTGGTGGGGGAAGTCCCTTTATCAACTTCAAATTCTTCTGGGAGAAGGACGACCTTCCATAACATCAACCAGCTGTGGGTGCTGGCGCTGCCTGAGGACCTCCTCCCTCCCTGCCCCAGAGCCACTTCTTCCTCCTTGAGGAGCCTTCTTTATTTAGGGTTTTATTTTTAATCTAAAGATGAGCACAGCCGGAGCTGTCTCCCACCAGGCTGTCATTTGGAATCTATAATATAATAGTCCTTAGCATTAAGAAAGAAAAATGGACAATCCCTTCTTAACATGAACTCTTACGTAGACCATCAGCTTATGAAACAGAGAGGAGCTGGAAGGCAGGCAGGATGTCTTGAGGGCAGGGCCCCCATCTCCAGTCTCTCTCTCAATCCCTAAGACCTCCCCGCACCCCAGTATCTCCTCCTCCAAATTCCCTGCCAGGCTCTTCCCCAACCCTAGGCCCCTGTGGCTCAACCTGCAGAGCAGCTGGGATTCCATTCATTTGAAGCTAAGAGAGGCTAACAGCAGAGATGGTTCTTAGAATTTCCTTGATGGACTTTTTAAAAAAACTCTCAGGCAACACTCCTCTCGCCACGAGAGGATGTGGACGACCATATGCTCGACAATTTTTAGGTTACCTGAACATGATCTCATATTTCCCACGGTTCTTCAGCTGCAGGGGCTGCTTCACCTCGTCCATGACCTTCACAATCCCCAGATCAAGGCCTCCTTCAGCTCCTGAAGAAGGCAGGGGCCAGGGTGGGAAGGGGTGAGTGAGCATGGGAGCGAGAAGCAAGGGGACTTCCTATTGACGTTCACATGGAAAATCCATGGTGACAATTTCAGAGAATCTGTTTCTGAAAAGCACTGTGGCTAGAAGAACTTGGAATTGAGTCTTAGCAAACAAACAACAGACACTTCTCCTGTACTCAGTTCAACCAAGTGGCTCCCTCTAGCTTCCACCTTAGGACTGTTGTTCTTCCTTTCATGTCTCTCATTAGCTAAAAGTCCTAGTGTTTAAAAAAAATCTTTTGAATCATGTGTATAATGTACCGAGTTGAGACATAATGCATAAATTCATATTATACTTTGTATTACATCATAATCATTTCCCTATGTAACTAAAATCTCCCCATGTTGTATTTATGGCTGCACAATATACTATGATATGGCTGTTTCATAATTTACAATATTATTCCTACAATAATAATATTCTATTACAGATAGACACTTAGGGTACTCCTAATCTTCCATTATTATAAATAATGCTGCAATAAATAATGCTGTGTGTAAGACCAATGACATCAAGGCAAACATGTAGCTCTAACATTCTATGAGTCATGCTGAGTAGCAGACCTATCAGAGAAAGGAGGGCCCTAACCTCCTGGGTGTTGGGGCAGTGTGGTAGGCAGAATAAGGCCTGGCACCTCCCCCATCAAAGATGCCCATGTCCTAATACCCAGAACCTGTAAATATGCCAATTTACATGGCAAAGGGGGATTAAGGTATTTGATGGAATCAAGATTGGCAATCACCTGTCTTTAAAATAAGGGAGAATTTCCTGGAGTCTCTGGGGGAACCCCAAGTAATCACAATGGTTCATAAACGCAGAAGAGAGAGATGGAAGTGGGAGAAGGACTGGACCCAACACTGCTGGCTTTGAAGAGGGAGAAAGAGGATCATGAGCTGAGGGATGTGTGTGGCTCCCAGAAGGTGGAAAAAGCAAGGAAATGGGTTCTCCCCCAAAGGCTCCAGAAGGGACAGTAGCCCTGCAACACTCTGGTTTTAGCCGAGGGAGAGCCATTTTGGACTGTTGACCTACAGAACTGTAAGATAATAGATCTGTATTGTTTTAAACCACAAAGTTCATGGTAATTTGTTAGGGTGGTGACAGAAAAGCAACACAAGCAGGCAGATAAGAACTCACTCTCAGATGACTGCTCAGAAAAGAACTCTTCGAATTTAAAATTTTGACCACCCCATTATTGTCTCCAGTTGGAGAGATTAAAATTTGTACTAACACTGCTAATATCACTTTAGTTTGCCTGCTCACCATTTACTTCAATTCCACCTTTCTCTCCAATAATCACTGGTCTTTCTCTACACAGGAAACACACTGCCCTAAAAGATGTGACCTCTAAACACCCTTTCTTTGGAGGAGTCAACAGACCTTTGGGGAAGGTGATGTCTAAGGCAACGTCATAGGACTCGGCAAAGATCAGGATGTTTTCAATCTGAACGACACCAATGAGGTTGTCTGCATCTAAAACCTGTCAGGGTAAGAGACATTCTTTAGTGAGGGCAGACCCGCAGGGTTCTTGGGAGTCTGAAACTAAAGAACCTGCAGGAGGGGATCATATAGAAGGGGCTGTGGTAAGAAACATTTTTGCAATGTATTTAGTTTTTGTTTACTGAGCATTTGTGTAGGCTGAGTGTTCTTTGTAATATCCTTTGGCGGAGGGCTGGTGTAGGCAATCAATAAAAGGATGAGGAAGAGGGACTACATTTTCCATCTTGTCTACTCACTGGGTTTCAATAATCTGTATCACTGGCACTACCTTACTGAAGTTTGGATTGTGAGTACACACAGCAGGAAAGCCTTCTTTGAACTTTTAAGTCAAATAAACCTGAAGAGCATTTTTCTGACAGTTGAAATGAAAATCTTTTATATTCTAAATTGCTTTAACTCATTTTATAAATCTGAACTGCTTTGTTCTTTATTTCTGATTCAACCCATGATAAAAGTGCCAGGTTTTTCATATAAAATGAGTGTTTAATGTCTCTCTTTTGGAAATTTCAGATTTAAAACAATGAACGCCACTACTATTAAAGCTGGAAAAGTTAAAAAAATAAATAAAAGCAAGCCTCCTAGCCTCCAGCCGATTTCTGCCCCCTCTGTTGTCCCTGATGGAGGTAGCTCTCCTGACTGCTGTCCCCTCTGTGGTCATCTCTGATGGTGGGTCCTCCTCACTGTCCTCAGGGGTATCTGAACTGCTGTCAGTCTTTAGCTGGATCTGACTGTTGACTCTTGAGACTGATGATGGGGCAGTAAAGGGTCTGTGTTTCAAGGGGAGGAGCCACTGGAGAGTGGGGGTGGCTCTCTGTATCTGCCTGGAGACCACCTGCCTCTCCGCTGAAGCCCCAAGCTGGAAAGCTAAGTGGCCAGCTCCCCACAGCTGGTGCCTTATTAAGGTGCCAGGGAGGAAATCTGTAGCTGTCACCAAACTCAAGTTTTAATTCAGAGTTTCCATCTTTCATCAAGCATTCTGCCAATGTTTCACAGAACAAATTGGATTGCTTGAGTTTACCTTCTTTCTTGTGATGCTCAGCTTCTGACAGAGATGACAAGAAGGGCTGGCAGCAGGAGGGGGTGGTAAGACAAAGAACTTGGGTTGTCAGATCCAGAATTTATATAGTTCTCCTCTACTGATAGAGACCAAGTACCCAGAGTACCTATTTCCTTTGCTACTCTACTGGATGGCAGGGGAAGTGGGGGGGGGGATTAAATTTTGTAATTAGGGAAAATAAGGACAATTTGGAAAATAAGGACAACTTTATTTGATAAAGTTCACCAGAGTGCTTTTCAGAGTGACCAAAAAGCAAGGCATTTCCTCGTGTGGATGTTGAAGGAATATAACCTGGGAAGAGAAGCAGAGCAGGACTTTGTGGGTTGTCAAACACAGACTAGATGGGAGCATGTAATATGGAGAATTGCTTTGGTATGTCTGTGAGTTGGTAGTGTGGGTGTCAGTGAACCCAGTGTGTACACATTTGGTGACCAGGTCTGAAGACATAGGAAGCCTCACCTCCAACCGGATTGCCTTCTTGACATTGACAGGTTTGGAGGGCAGGAAGTGCACCTGAAGGCTATACTCAGACTTGGGGGCTATGGTCCCCTGCATGGTGGACACGGTGAAGTCTTCGCCCAGGTGCTCCAGGCTGGTGATCCTCCAGGCCAGGGGCAGGAGTGTGATGTTGCGGAGGAGAACTGCCTTGGAGTCTTTTCTGCAGAGACCAAAGGAAATTCTGTCCGTTTCAAACAATTTTGATTTATTATGGCAAGTCAGAAAAAACACTTCTGGTTATTTCAATTCATACCAGTTTATTACTATTTATTGCAGGGAACAGGGCCTATCTGTGATGATCAGGAAATGCAGGATACATGAATCAATATACTTCCCCAGCTGCCTCAGAAATAAACATTCTCTATTTAGAATAATACAATTTCCATGAATGACTGTGTAAGTTCTAGGTCTGGTCTAGTGTTCTCTGCTTGTCCTCTAAATTTCTAGAGCCAAGATTCTTAACCTTTTAGGGTAATGGACTGAAAATCTGAAAAAAGCTAGCCCTTCTGAAAAAAAACACAAACATGCACACACTTTGGCAGTTGATCTTAGAGAAGTCCTTAAACAGCCTGCAGTCCATCCACTGAACCCAAGCTGACAACCTGTGAACTCAGAGGGTTACCACCCATCCCGATTTGCACAGGACCAGAAGTCTCCCAGGACGGAGGACTTTCAACACTAAAACCAGGCAGATCCCAAGCAGATCAGGATGAGTTGGTCACTTTAGAACTAAATGTTCTTTAAATTTCATTCATCCCAGTCCTGGACTCATCTAGAACTCTGACCTGTGCAGCAAGAGCCGGTCAAAATGCAATTGCCTGGGATCCAGCTCCAGTTCTGGGCGGACACCCTGGCAGCTTAACTGGAAGACTGCGGGCTCGGGGTTCTCCTTGATGCAGCAGACGATGCTGTCTTCAAAGACACCGACTGCAGTAGGGTAGGCCCATACATTCAGCAGCTAATGGGAGAGTCAAAGCAAAGAACATTTATATCCAGGATGCCAAGGCCTCAAAATTCAAAGGAAAGCCTTGCCCTGGTAGACTTGTTTCCACGTGACTGTACCTGCTTCTCATTGGGTTTCAGAATCATGTTGATGGGCTCCAGGAAGTAGGTGTTTGCTTTGATGTCATTCTGAAAACAGAAGAACGCCTCCACGACCATTGGGGAGCTATTCAGGATTGTCAGTGTCTCCACGTTGCCTGGGAACAAAGAGGACTTGTACCTGGAAGTGAACAAAAATTCAGGATGTGGATGTGAGGACTGGCTGAGAATTCAGGTGGAAAAGCAGACTGTGAGGTGCAAGGCAATTTCAAAGGATAAAGTGGCGACACAGAGGCAGTGGCATGAAGGCTACGAACACAAACCTTATGGTGAAGACTTGCAGCTGTGACCTAACTACTCCCCCACAAACCCACCTTAAACCTTGGTCTCATCTTTTTAAGATGGGATGATAAAAACTCTACGGATTTCAAGTATCAAATATCAATATCAAATATCAAATGAAATAGAGCACCTAATGCTCTGAGGACAGCTGCAGATAACAAATGCCCAATAAAGGGCAGTTGTTACTACGGCAAAGATTTCTAACTAAGAAAACTGTAGCTCTATCCTTCTCAGTGCTTATGCTGCCAAGACAGATGATCGTTTGAGTAACCTGTTATTTCATATCTTAGAGAAGACCTCATTTACCACCTTCTCCTACACTCACACAGGATGCTACTGTTTCGACATAGATGCATTTGACACTGCTCACTGCTCAGGGCTGTTTCTGTTCCCTAGTACCTTAGGGAGAGACCCACCGAGTGGAGCACTGTAAGCACTGGAAACTGCCCAGTTAATGGTACCAAGCAGAAAAGCAGCCAGAGAAGGTGCAGGGAACATCAACAGACACACACATCGCTGGAGGTTATAGCACAGGTCAGGAAAGCAGGGCATCACTGTGCCCACAAACAGTCTGAAGAGCTCTCTGGACAGTCTACAATGGAGGAAGGAAGGAGAAGGCATGGCAGAGATTAAATCCGAGAGACAGAGCTTTCTCTGTGTAACTGCCAGAGAGGTGGTGGCCTTCACATATCACTGTTAATTATCACCACCAAGCACCTTGCTAAAAGTTACATGTGTACTCTCTAGTTCAGTCTTTCCAAAACTGTGCAGTAGGTGCTATTATTTTCCCGTTCTGCAGATGAGGACATTGAGGCTCAGCAAGACTTAAAAGATAAATGATACTCATTTAGGGACCACTGTAATTGCCCTCTTGGATCATTGCTGTCTGGCCTAATACCCTGGTTAATTCCAGTGTTGCTCAGAACACAGGCCTCTCTGAACCGGCCATCATTTCCCTGAATCCCACCTCTGGCTGGCTGCTGATGGATCTATATCACATCCATCAACCTTACTCCCACCCCTTCTCTTGTCTCAGCCTTTCTACTGGGTTTTAAGGATCCTCTCCATCAACAGTCAACTCTCTTCAACTTCATTTTCTAGTCCAATATCTTAGGAAATAAACAAGAGGTTATGAAGGGAATGGAGATCTAACTTGGCTCATTAGTTTCACCAAGTAAGCATAGAAATAATCATTCGCCACTTATCATAATAAATGCTAGATGGAATTAAAACATGATTGAGATCCTGGTTCTGTTTTTGGTCTCACCCTCCTGCCTATATAATAAGTAACTTATATATGACTAAAAACAAAAAAACTTGTATCCCTAAATAGTAATGACCATTGACCTTAGCTGGGCCCCCAGTTCTGCCAGATAATCTTAATCTATTTCTCTAATATTCTCCCTCTCCTACTTTGCACAAAACCTGTTTCATACCTTCTCCATTTTCCCAACGTTTTAAACTTCCTTCCACTTGCCTCACTGTTAGGGATGACCTCACATCATTCACTACGGAGAAAATGGTTGCATGGTAACCTCACCATTCCAGTCAAATCTGTGACCCTACCTGCACCTGAAGCCATCTCACCTTCCTCCGATGTGATGATGGTCCTTTGTCCTGGCAAAGCCAGCATCTCCACCTCTTGTGTTGTTTCAGGGAGCTGCACCACTCACTGCCCTGACTTTCTCTGGAAACTCTAGCTTCTTCCTCCCTACTTCCCCCCTTGACATCTAAACATCATAAGAACAACAGTGAACGAACAGCCTTCCCTGCACTCCAGGTCTCTCTCCTGTCCCCAGCTGCCTCCATCTCCCTTTACAGTCAAGCTTCTCCAAAGAACCACCTCCACACTCTCTATTCTCCCACCTCCCACTCACTCCTCAACTCACTTTACTTGGATTTCATCCTCAGAAATCCCCTGAGAGGGTCCTATGACTTCTGTGTTGTTAAGCCCCATGGACGTTGATGTCATCACCTTTCCACCCTCCCTGCCACAATCAACATGGATGGCCAGGCCCTCTTCTCATGGCTCCAGGACACCATGCTCTACCGGTTTCCACCAGTAGCCCCTGCCCTCTTATCTCTGGTGAGTGGTGGAATTCTTTAGGGCTTCATCCACGGTCCTTCTCACCTTACTGTGTATTCTCATTTAGGTGATCTCATCAGACCCATGGCATTTTTTTGTCTTGAAACAGACTTCCCTCTGAGAACCAAAACCGTATAGACTATGCCCTGCTTTCTGTGGCTCCTAGCTGTATCTCGCGAGCATCTCAAACTGAACACATCCCCAAGTAGACTCTACATCCTACCCTTCCCCTACCCAAACTAGGTCTTCCTCCAGGCCACCCCATCTGGGAAAACAGCATCCTCAGTCACTTGAGAGCTTAGCAGAAACTTGGGGCACAAGAACCCACTGCTGATCTGTGGTGCAGGGCTACCTGAGGCAATGTCAGTAAGAGCTGGGTCTACTATTAATACATAGGAACCCGGCTCATACTCTTCATGGGTCCAACCCAGGGGTCTGAAATCTGCTTTGAAATAGTGGAACACTTACTTGTCTCTTGATTTCCCACAAAGCAGTGGTCCGAAGTGAAACCTCTCCAAGCTCACAATATACTTCTTAAAGATGATCTCATTTGCCTTCATGTCCATCTTCTGCTGAGGGAATACCACCCTGAACACAGAGGAGGAAGAGGAGAGGAGGAGTGTCTGAATGCCTCCACATGATGTATACACGAACCCAACATTCCCTGTTCAGCAAAGGGTCCAGGAGTCTGGAGACAGAACAACTCTTAATTTGAGGACATTTCTGGAACCAACCCTGAGGGAAGACACTACAGTTTGAACCTGAGAAAAAAATATTCCCAGGAGTGTCTTTCATAATGGGGCTGATGATGAAACTGAGCTGGACTTCTTGTTCTAGTGTGCCTAGCTAGAAAAAGCCCTGAGAAACCCTAAGGAAGCGTAGTTCTGGTGGATCTTAACCAGCTTCTGAGCTCCCTGTCTGATGTGGCCCCTTAGTGAGAATTACCAAAAAAACTCTTTCTGGTGTACAAGCTATAAAGAGTCCCCTGACTTACTCGAGCCAGGGGCCTTTATGTGGTGCATAAGGGGCTCAGTGGTTGGTACTCAGGAAAAAAATCTGCCTGTGGAGATACACACATATACTGAGGTTACAGAATAAAAGTCCTACAGCAAATATAAAATATGTTTACAGATGCTTAATAGTTAAATAAACAAACTAACTTGCCACAGGAAGACATCCCCTTGCCCTTCACATCTGCCAGCATTCTATTTTAGCTACATGGTACCGTGTCATTTCTGTGACTCAATCAATGTCCATGGCTCTGGAGCCCAGTACAAGAGGGCCTGGGATGCTGCCCCGGTTCCACATTTCTATTAAGACACACCTTGTTCAAAGTCCCATGGGGGAAAACAAAAATGTATCAGACAATCTTTTCTTTAAGGACAAAATACACTTACTTTGGGTCCTGGCAAATGTATGGGTAAGTGCAGACACCTCGGCAGTAAAGCTGGTACTGGCGGTGAGTTCCAAGGATCTCAAAGTTAAATGTTTGGTCAAAGATCCCAAGACTGTTCGAAGAGAAGTGCACGCGCAATGTCACCTCACCGTTGGCAGGCACAATCCACCGGAAATGATTGAGCCTGAAAATGACCACACAGGCTTTTACTGTGAGGATGCCTCCTCTGGGCCAAGAGAAGACAGGACTGTTGCCTGGGAGAAGTCTGATCCTGCTGTGGTTAGGCATGGCGGTCCTTGACCGCCACAGAGGTCCTTAACAGTCAGGACAACCCAGCTCCCATCTGAGGCTGTGACAGCCACACCCTCATTTGGAGCTTCAGTCTTCCCCTCCCTAGCTGGTCCAAGGCCCACCTGGTGAATTTCTCCTGGGAATGCTGCCCAGATAAGTTGTTTTGCTCTATGTCCAATAGTGGAGCAACAGTTCTGGAAGTTCCTGCAGAAAGGCCCTTCCTATTGAAGGCCATTCGACGTTTCTCCTTCTGAGTCTCACGCAGCTGATCTGTTTTTTCTTTCTCTTTTTCTTTCGTTTTCTGTTTGCTCCCTTTAGATGAGGTGGTTTGCTCCTCCTGGGTCTTAAATTGAAAATGAGCACAGGGTCTTAAACAATCATCCTACGATCACAGAAGCAGGAGACAGGAATGCCCATGACATTGCCTGCGGTTTGGGGTGACCTCACCAGGTTCAAGATGCTGGCGACTGCTGAGAATGGCAGGGCCCAGACTATGACACTACTGTAGGAGAGAAGTGTGGAGAGGAGTCTAGGTCTTTCCCTGGTACCCCATTCCCTGAAAGGAGGCCAAAGCTCCAGAGAAAGCTTGAAGCTGGTCTGGAGTGTGTTCCCATACTGTATTTTGTTGTTGCGCTTCTTTAGTAATTTTTTAAATCTAGATTTCTAATTTCTTCCCAATCACACTGATTTTTTTCATAGACCAAATCTGTATCATGACAGAATATTCCATAGTCTGTAAATCTTTTGACTGTTCTCAGAGTGTCACTTAAAACTTAACTTATTTCCTGTATTTCATGTAAGCTGAAAAAAAGATTTAAAAACTCGATTAGATTCAGAAAGGATGCTGTGCACACCATACTCGGTCACAGTGGGAGACAAATGATGTCAGGTAGACTCACGATTACAGATGCAAAAGTTGTCTGTGTGGCTGCAGTGATGCTTGCAGATCTTGGCCATGGCAAAGCGGACATCCCTCTCTGCAGCCAGCCAGCCGCCCAAGGGACGATGCTCTGGCTCAGAGTGAGTGTCCTGTTCTCCAACAAACCAGCACTCTAGGAATCCCCTGGCACTCCTTAATCAAGTATATCACTGGGGATATCAGAATGGTGCCTTTCTAATTCTACCATGCTTTCTATAATTTCAGCTGTCATTCTCCTAGAAAGAAGAGCTTTCCTTCATGTACTGGAGATGAGCTTGAGTTCCTCCTAAAACTGTAAGTTAAAGAAAACTAAACTCTTTCCCCTTAAGGTTCAATTTTCAGAAAAGAGGTTGGTGTAATAGTCACCTCTGATGGTGGCAATATTTTCTTTTTTACCTTTTTATTGGACTCTGCCCAAGTAAGGCCTGCCCACCAGTGCTGATACCTGATGTTGATTATCTATTTACTTACCAAACTGAAGTCTGGGGCTCTCTGTTACCTAATTGAGGTGTAAGCAGGGCCTATAGATAACTTTATTTGCTGCTGATTTTGTTTTTTGCTAACATGCATGGTTTACAGGAAGAAGGCTAGGAGGTGATTCAAATTTTGGCCCCTATACTCCTCTTTGGCCGCCTGATGTGAAGAACCAACTCATTGGAAAAGACCCGGATGCTGGGAAAGACTGAAGGTGGGAGGAGAAGGGGACGACAGAGGATGAGATGGTCGGATGGCATCACCAATGCTATGGACATGAGTTTGAGTAGGCTCCGGGAGTTGGTGATGAACAGGGGAGCCTGGCGTGCTGCCGTCCATGGGGTCACAAAGAGTTGGACACGACTGAGTGACTGAACTGAACTATTCCTCTGGTAATAAAAAGCCCCTCTGTAATTTTTAATATCCATGCATTCTTCATATTACTAGTCAAATCTACTTTTCTTTATTTATTCCATTAATTGTATATGTAAAAATAAATTTTCTACTTTTACATGATTTCATTTTGAACACTTATCCTTTTAATCTAGGTGGAATTACTTTTACTGCACTGTGTCAGGCAAGGAGATAAAAAGCAACTTTATTCAAAATATCCAACCTTCCCCATATAATTTCTTAATAGTCTTTTCTTTTTCTAATGGTGTGTGTTTCCTTGTGTCTGTTGATTCTTGTATTCTTCTGCACTGTGTGAATTACCTTAGCTTCATAATACATTTTGCTACCTTTTTAAAAGAGCTAGTTTTGCTTTTTTTTTTTTTTTTTGCAAATGAGCTTTAGAGCAAATCAACAAGTGTCATTTTTAGTCTCTTCTTGGGGGCACAGGAAGAGTCAGACCAAGGGAAGGTGCAGCTTAGGAAGGCTTGGGTGGAATCCCAAGTGAGTGGAGGCAAACACCCCAGTGAACTTGACATCAACCTCGGGCTCAATTTTTGGCCACATGGAGGGCCCATGTGAAGTCTCGCCAAGGTCAGGAGGATAAGTTTCTCCCTTTACCTTTGAGGAGCCCGGAGTGGCTGAAAGCTCTGTTTCTGCTTCCACTTCTCTTTTCTCCTCCATCAGGGAGAGCTCTTCAGAGGGTGGAGTTACAAACACGAAATGCTTCAGGATTTCTGTCATGGTCAAAGGCTGTCGCTTCACAGGGTAGGAGATGATTGAGAACAAAGCAGGTGGTGGGATAGGTGGTCCAGAAGAACCCAGGCCCAAGATGTCTAGGATCTAAAGGAAAATATCAAGATTAATTTCTGGTGTAGAGGGCAGGCTACCCCTAACGGCCTCCCTGAAAGAGCACAGGATGGTGAGACCCTCCCTCCTTTCTCTCAACTTTCTCAGGAGACGCCCTGATATAGGCATGTGTCAGGGATGGTGTGTTAAGGGCCTCTGACATAGCTCCGCAGGTCCTTCCAGACCCCACACCTCCAGACCCAGCTGGGGCTCTTGCTATGGGCTTCAGGCTCCCTCTCTTATCATAACCTTTGTCACTTTATTACGATTGCTTGATGGTCTATCTCTGCAACTGGACTGCAGAGATAAGTTCATTAGGACTGGAACTAGGGTGATATAGCACATAGCCGAGCACACAGCTGGGACTCAAACCTCTGTTTAAAAAGACCATCTCTTAACATTCTGATGTCTATAGTATAGAGCTGTTTCATTTATTTTCAGATCCCCTGTTAATATCTCTTCTACCTTTAAGTGTTCTTTCTTTTCAAAGGTAAAAGAGAGTTAGTGCTAGAGCAGGTCACATACAGCAAAGAAAAAAAAAAGCACATCAAGGTTCTGGGAATGGGGTGAAAGATGGGAATGAAGAGAGAAGTTAAAAAAGAAACTTTAGAGAGTCAACTTATTCCTGCAGCATTTCCCATTCTACTCTGATATATAATGAATGTGAGCCATCCAGAGCAGATGGCTTGAAAATCTGGTAGCAGTTTTCTCCTCAGCTTGTAAAACCCTCAGAAAAAGGATGCTATCCCTTGATTAATTGTTGTCATCACAACCATGAGGCCACCTGAGTGGACCAAACAGGCTATTAGCTCAAGCAAGTAACTATCTTCATGCAATCTGGTGTTGCTAATTCTCTGGGTCAGAAAGCTGAAGACACTTCCTGACTAACATGTAGCTAGAGTTAACTCCCAGGATTCAGAATATCTGTGAGAAAAGGGATGAATAACTTTAATCCCCTATTAAATTAATAGAGGCAGGAAGGTCTTTAAGCAAGTCTAACTCATGGTTCCTCTCAGGCTCTGCTCTCTACTTTTAAGGTTGCATCTAGTTTCTGATAAATACTAAACTAAACCAGTGGGTAGACTGCGGCCCCCTGCTCAAATCTGGCTTGCTATCTGCTTTTGTAAATCAAGCTATATCTGAACAGAGTCATGTCCAGTCATATCCATTGTTGGGGGTGGGGGTTTGGGACAGAGCCTGTATGACCTGTAGCCTCAAATATTTGTTTTTGGTGTTTCACCAAAAAAGTTTGTCCCGGGATGAAAGGTTATAATAACCATCCCCTCCAAATCACTGCCAAAGGGGTTTCTGAATATGATGCTTTTGTTTCTAGGTACAAGAAGCTGTCTGGTCGTATAATTTCTGTCATGGTGGGAAGCTTATGGGAAAGAAATTTTAGAATAGCTGAGCCATTTGCATCACCCCCAAAGTATACCTGCCTTGCCAACCCATAACACAGTATTGTCAATACTAAAATTAATTTTATGAGTGGCTTTTTATAAGGTTAGTGGAATAGTTAAGATCTGTGGAACTTCCTATGGATATTGCATCACATAGAAAAGGGTCCTTTTAGCCATTTTTGTTTTATATACAAAGGGACATCAGAGATGAATGGAACTAAGGGGATCTGGATTTTGTGTTGAAAACACATTTACAAGGACTAGCTCTGTACGGCTACCTGGCTACCTGGTCGGGACATCTCTGTCTTGGAGGAGAGTCTGTACCTGCTCCCCTTTAGGAAGCCTCTCGTTTTCCAGGGCCTGCTTCCAGCTCGAGCCTTCGGGGTCAGGCGTCTGGATGCTTACGAACGGCACACCCAGATCCTTCTTGCCCTCTCGGTCCTCCTCCTCGCCCTCGCCCCCGTCGCTGTGCTCCTCCTGGGCGCGGAGCTTCTCCAGCCGCTCCCTCTCCGCCCTCTCCCGCTCCAGGCGCTCCCTCTCGGCGCGCTCCTTCTCCGCTCGCTCCCGCTCGCGCTCCTTGCGGCCTCGGCGTCCCGCGGAGGGAACCTGGCGCTGGTCGGCGCCTTCCTCGTGGCTCGCGTCCTCAGCGCCCACGTGCTGCAGCAGAACCCCCTGCTTCCGGTCCCAGTACGCGAGGACGCTCTGGATGTCCTTCAAGGTGAGCTCGAAGGCCTTGAACCTCTGGGCCAGGTTCTTGTCCGTGTCCTTTGGGAGGTCCCCCTCGCTCTCCTCTTGCTCCTGGACAAGAGGAAACCAAAGTGTGTTGATATCTGACCGGAGGTTCCTCTTCCTCTTATTTCATTCTTCCCTCTCCACAGCTACCTGCTCTCTGATGGACACTTTTCTTTCTACTGCGTCAATCTTCACCTCTAGTTTGGAAAAATTAAGAATCTAGAAGGCAAAAACACATAAAACATTCTTAAAACAGTTCTTTCAGGGAGAGCAAATCTCAAAAGAAGGAGAAAGAGGGCGTTTCTGCTTTGTAAGATGGCCTCATAGGATTCCAGCCCCTGATACACACACCAGGGCTGTGCCTATAGATTGTGTGGGGGCCTTTCTCAGAAGACTGGCTCTGTGGTCCTTCCTTGCCATAGAGCTGGCTGGGGCCGGGCATTATGCACAGCAGCTGTAATGCCACTCCTGGTTGAGAGCTGCTGCTCTGAAGGATCAACAGGAAAAGATGCTCAAGAAGAGCCTTTCCTCCGGAGAGGCCACTGAGTTTAGTGGTCCAAACCTGGTCTCACAATTGTTAGCTGTGTGACCATGGGTGAGCAATCCACATCTCTGGCCCATCTGTAAGGTGTTGACAGTAATATTAATAACTACCCCAGAGGACCATGAAGAGTAAATGTGTGAGTACATGTAAAAAGCTTAGGACAGTGTCTGTCACACAGTAAAAGGTCTCGTAGTGCCAAGTTATTAAAATTATACAGATTATGTATACAGATTAATCAGTGCTGCTGGGGACAGACAGGGTTTCAGAATCTGGCTACACTCTAGTCTCTTAAACAAACCTGTATTTTATCTAATGAATCTTGCAGACAGAAACCAACCTTAGTCTTTTGCTGCTTTGTGGGTTCTGACTTTCTCCCCTCCTGATGAAACCCTTTTAAACTTGCTTTGTGGGTTCTGATTTTCTCCCCTCCTGATGAAACCCTCCAGGTGGCTTCACAGGTTTGGGGTTCATTCTTTGAGGACAGACAGTCCAGTTCAGCCCAGTGACATTCTTCTCTCGCCTAACCTCAGGTGTGGAGGCATGAGTGGTCCAGGCTGGTTATCCCGTCTCTGCACTGCATCAGCTCCCCCGCTACATGTCCGTCTCTACAGCCTGGAGAGAGCTGACACAACAGTACTGACATCACTGTCTCCCAGAGTGGGCGGATAGCCTTATTTGTGTTGGGGAGGGGAGGGCTGGGTGCCTGCTCTATGTTCCCATCTACAGAGTTCTGCCTAGATATCCTGTTCCAAGTGGAAGTGGACTGAGTGTAGAAGAAGTGCCTGCTGAAGGAAGGACTTGCACTTGGAAGGTTGCAGGAGCCTATTTCTTATCCTTGTTTTGGTGCCTAAGTTTTAAGCGCTCAGACCTGCTCCTGCCTGAGCTCTGCCTGATGGGGACTCCTGGACACTGATTCCTCTGCTCTTCCATCTGCCTCCTGGGACCAGTCTGCACCTCGTCTGGGAGTCTGGCTTTAGTTTAATCCTCAGCACTCTCAGGGCTGGAGCGGCCACTGTGCAGCCCAGCTAGCCACACCCCTCAGCCACCAGTGCCACCCTGGACGTTGCTCTGGCCAGTCTGCACCAAGACTGGGTACCGTGCATCAGTGGGCAGAGACGTGACAGGCAGATTGACAATCACAAGGACAGCTTATGCTGGAGCATCTCCCTTGACTGCAGTCAAGGACCAGCTCCTGGTTGAACACACTGACTTGGTGGCTCACTGGAAACAGCTCTTCACCACCAGTCTATTTAACACCATCCAGGGGGCTGCAGGAGACAGCAGAAGGAGCCAGATCTGTGTACACACACAACTGTCACAGCTCATCCTGTTAAATTCTGGATGGGGTTCATGTCTCCGAACCTCTGAGGAAGGACAGGATGTAACAGGACAGGATTGTGGGAAGCACAAGAAAGCGTGGGACACACGGTCAGTGCTCAGAAAATGCTGATCCTGCTCCTCCTGCCTTTTGCTCCACCACAGAGTCTACACAGTCCTAGGTCAGCTTTCTGGAGGGAACATGTGCTGGGCTGACATGCTGGCTGTGGTGGTGGACCACTCTGCACCTGCCTGCCGCTGAGGGGTGAGGGAGGGTTGCTACCTGCCGGCTTGGTATCTGAGTTTTCTTCACGGACGGCTCCTCCTTTACGGGTCCCTGCTTGGGCTTTTTATTCTTCCGTTTTAGCTCATCTTCTTCCTTCTGCCGCTCAAGTTCCTGCTGTAGCTTCCTTTCCTGCATCTCCTTTGCCAGTCTCTCCAGCTCCCTTCATTAAGTCAGGCAGAGAAAACAAGAGTTCAGAGCGTCCTGCCCGAGACCCTCCCCTGCTGAGATCACCTGGTGGGGGGAACATGGCACAGAGCTTTCTTGAGCATAAAAACAAGGAAAGAACAAAAGAAAGCTGGATATTATAGGAAGGAAGGAAGATGGAAGGAAGAGAAGAAAACAAGGAAAGAAAGGAGGAAAGGATGGTCCCATCTACCTTTGAATCGTCATTTAGTAAAAGTGATAACTGAAACTCAACTAAGAGGAATTCTCAACTGATCTTTAATTCTACTCCAGTCTCCTTTCACAGGAGAGTGAGGCAAGGGCTGTAAATAAGCTGGATGTTATCACCCTTAAAAAACAACTTTCAAAGATTGCTCTGATATCAGTACAGATGAGGCCCAGCTTTCTACACTCATGTCTGAGGTTTAGACAAGAAGAAATGATGTTTTTCACAGCGGTCCCCACTGTGGCCCACTTGGAGCCATGGTGCTAGAGCTGAAGGCCATGTTCCTCTCCCTGTCTCTCTTTCTTTCCTTTCTGGCTATGGATTCAGCCGTGTCTGCCCTGCTGCTAACGGCAGAGAGGGCACCAAGCCTGGGCACCACGTATAAACAAAGTGTGGAGGGGATGGCATTTCTGAAGATACGGAATCCATTTGTTTTCATCTCTGGGAACCCCTGGTTGTTCTGACTGCTGTGGCTCTCTGCTCACTGAAGTTGACTCATCATTACTTCATCACTTCATGTGTGTGTGTGTTACAAACAAGTCACTGTTGAGCTCTGAGAATCAGATTTGCATTTTCTAAGTCCACTCTGAGATGAATGCCTGAAAGTAAATGATCTGAATGAGAAAAAAAAACAAACGATTCTTTTGGAATCCCAAAGCTGGGATTCCTGAGGCCCAGGCATGTTTACAGTAGACCATGCAGGAGATGTAGGTATATATATATATATATATATATTGATACTGTAGAGGACATAAAAGCTCTTTGGGGGCCAGTGGGAGGAGTCTGGAGGTAGGGGGAGAGGAGAAAAGGGATTAAATTATAGGTAAGCCACTTGCTTCCCCACCAGTGTTTGGAATCCTAGGGAGGGGTAGGCAGTAGAACCCCCCCCCTCCCTTGGCATGTCTGAAGATCTGAGGACAGGACACTGCCCATCTGTATGTGAGACAGCATGAAATCGTGGGCCATGTCTCGTGGGTGGTATGGAGGGGATTCAGTCAGTCCTGTGTGGTCCCCAGGGATGGGCACAGAAGGTGGATGAGAGCACTGGCCTGGGAGCCTGCCCAGGGTCTCTGGTGAACTGCCCAGGCTGAGGGGCAAGTGGGAGTGGCAGTCAGACCTCAGGGGGTGGACAGCACCACCAAAGGTCAAGACACTGGCCAGGAAAGGAGGAGAAATGGCTAAGTTATGGAGGGCAACCACCACGCCCACGTCACAAGAGTGGTCCCCTGGGTCACCATCTGTGGACACCTGAGCACAGAGGCTGATGAGCCGTAGCTCTCAGGGGAGCCAGCAGGAGCCCAGGACAGTGCAGGGTCCAGAAGCCCCTCCTCTTTTTACACTACAGCCTCTATCCCTGGGTCCCACCTGTCCCCCAGAAAGAAGGAAGGACAGGAGAATGGAGACCTGGGAAGGCTGCAACAACCAGCACCCTGGTTGTGCAAGATACCTGTTTCTGCTCTCAGCAAGTCAGCCTCCCAGGTCTCCCGTGGCCACTGCTGCCTCGTCCCCGGCCCCAGTGACCCTGGTCTCCAGGATGGGCCATGTGCCTGACGGAAACTGCTCTCAGAGGCAGTGCCTACCTTCTGATCGGCCCCAGACACTGACCTCCTCTTCCTCTCCCGCAGGGCTTGCTGAACCTCTCGATTGAACGTTATCTTCTCCTCCTCTGTCAAGGCATCATACTCTTCCTCATCCATGTTTTGGAGACGCTCCTTCTCTCTTTTCTGTGCTTCCCTGCGCTTGTGCTCTGTGGGGAACAAACAGGAAGGTGAGAAAAAACTCACCCACCACCCTTGGCTTCGGGGACCCCAGTGGTTTAGCTCTTGCCTAAGCAGGCTGTGGTGCGTGTGTGACAGGGAGTGGCGGCGGGTACCACAGGCGGCCTGCCTAATTTCTGATGGGCTTTCCTGCACTAACATAGTTCCTATAATGGTTTCCATCTGTGGTAGGCTGAACCGGGGCCCCAAAGATGTCCACATGCTAATGCCCAGAACCCTGTGAATATGTCACCTTACATGGCAGAAAGAACTTTGCAAATGTAATTAAATTAAGGATCTTGAGTTGGGGCGATTACCCTGGATTATCTGAGTGGGCCCAATATAATCACAGAGGTCCACCAGAGGCAGGCAGGAGGGTCAGGGTCAGAGAAGAAGAGGGAACAATGAGGCAGAGGTCAGAGAGTTTCGAGGTAGGAACCATGAGCCAAGGAATGCAGGGGGCCTCTAGGAGCCAGAAAAGGCGAGGAGGATTCTCCCCTAGAGCCTCCAGAGAAACATGGCTTTGCTGACACCTCAATTTTAGGACTTCTGACTCCCAGAACTGTCAGAGAACAAATCTGTGATGAGTCATCAAGTTTGAAACAGTGTATTACAGGAGTAATAGGAAAGTAATATACCACCCACTGACTTTACCCATTACTAACACAAGCCACCAAAATGCTCAGGTGACAGAACTGTCAACTTCCACACCCTGCAGATGCCAGGTCCTGAAGTGTGGTTCACACTTGGCACGAAGGCTCTGGGCTGCGTCTGCCCACATCACAGGCACCACATTCTTGCCTGCTGCTTCTTGAAGTTTGAGCTTTGGGCTCAGAGATCTACATCTTGAGTTCTTAGTCTCTAGCACTTACCAGAGGATAGCAACAGATCAGAATAATAATTTTTCCTTCACAGGGCTATTGTGGGAATCAAATAAGCAATCATGTAAGGTACCTAGCCCAGTGCCTGGCACATTCATAAATGTTCAATAACAACTAGAGTCTAATATAATAATATTGTACGCTGCCTCAGGACTTTTTAAAATGATTAAGGGAATAGGGACCTATATTGCAACTGTGAAAACTACAGGTAATTGAGAAAATGAAAAGAGATACTTTCTTTCAAAAGTTGATTGTTGAGGGGAAATGAGTTTTCTGGAAACTAGGAATCTGGAGGTTGAAATATTGCTGAGAGATGCCTGGTCAATCTTCCTAATTTTTCTCTGGACGAGAATAAAAGGAAGCAGTCTTTGAGTTCTGCTTCAACCCCTGGATTAGGAAGATCCCCTGCAGAAGGGAAAGGCTACCCACTCCAGTATTCTGGCCTAGAGAATTTCAGGGACTGCATAGTCAGTCCATGGGGTCGCAAAGAGTCGGATACAACTGAGTGACTTTCACTTCACTATGAACTAAGAGAGCTCAGTGTTTGCAAATATTTCCTTAAAAGGAAAAGCATTATGATTGATGCAGAGTGTTCTGGAAGACAGAGGCAAGGCTGAGTGAGGAAGGGCACTGATATGACCAGAGCTGAGGCTGAAGCAGGATTTTGCCTCTGAGGGGTAGTGCCATCCTCTCCCTCGGGGGCCAAGATCTGCTGGGTCTGCTTCTGTCTAAATTTGGAACTTCAGCTAACATTACTTTCTTTGTGTATGTACTTGTTTTCCACATCTGTAGAATGGGGGCAATAATCTTTGTGAGGACTAAATGACCCAAAGTGTCCCTTAAAGACATTTTAAGTGTACACAGTCTGCTGCAGTGCCTGGTACACAATAGGCTAAAATGTAGAAACTGTTTCCTAAAGTTACAAGCTTTACTCTGGTCTTACCGGAGATTCACAGTGGGCTTAAACAAAACCAACAAGCTAACGAATGGGTCACCTGAGTAAGGATGGGACCTGTGACGTGGTCCTCTCAGCCCTTGCTCAGATGCTCAGTCACGTCTGACTTTTTGCAGCCACATGGACTGTAGCCAGCTAGGCTCCTCTGTCCATAGGATTTTTCAGGCAAGAATATTGGAGTGGGTTGCCATCCAGGAGACTGTCCCAACCCAGTGACTGAACCTCCATCTCCTCTATCTTCTGCATTGGCAGGATTCTTTACCACTGGGCCACCTGGAAGCCCTGTGATACCCTTAGGTAGGCTGTAATTACACAGAAGATGAAGGGATGTAATGTGATGTCAGGGGAAAGAGGAAGATGCCTATGGTGAGAAGAGCTGGGTTCCATCCTTCGTTCTATAATCTCTCAACAGGTCACGTGTGTCTCAATTTCCTCACACGCAAAGTAGAAATAAGAACTCCCAGCCACCCTCCAGGGCAGAGGTGGGGCGCCAATGAGATGGCAAATGTAGCTGCACATAAGCCTAATGGGTGCTCACGGTGGGGAAGGACTGTAAAAAGCCTAGAGCTCTGTTTAAAGGAAAGACCTATAGGGCTTGGGAAGGACAGCCCAGGAGGGTATGGCCTTACCTTCTTGCTCATTTTTGGCTTTCTCCTGGGCCTTCATGGCTGCATAATCCTGGGCCATGTTGATGACATAGATGTGCTCCCGATTGCCGATGGCCTTCAGCAGGCAGAGGAGAGCGGTAGGTGCATTCCGAGCAAAGAGTGTCTCCAGGCTGTCAAACACCACTCCTCGGTAGCAGTCACTCAGCTGAAACCAGAGCACAAACAGTTACTGTGGCCACAAGATCATCTGTTCTCCAAGAAGGAAGCTACTTGTTCTTTTGCTGCTGCTTTTACAGGTGCTGCCACTGGTTCTGCAGACACAGAACCATTGGTTCTGGGCCCAGATGAAAGTTCCACTGCCTTCCCACCTGCTAGATTCAAGGGGCTGTAATTAAACAAGAGAGAAAAATAAAAATGTTTCAGCAGTCATAAAAGATCTTTGCCATACATATCTGCAGAGTAAAGGATTTATTCTGTCTCTGTAGAAATCAAGAAAACAAATAATGTTAAGGTGAGAATCTGGGAAGATCCATGAAATACAGGGAAAGAAGATGTGTATGAAAGGTGTCCCTCTGCAGCAAAGGCAGCGGTAGCAGATGGGCCATTTTTATCGTAGTGGTTTTTCTGCCTTGGAGCATAGTGATTTTGGTAACAATAACTACTGTAGAACAGGCCTTGGCTGTGCTGCAGTTACTTAAAGCGTAGTGCACAGGCTGGCCACCAGGGGCTAGAGACTGATTACTACCACTTTCTGATGAGACAAGAATCCTGTCTCAGAAAATCAACTACTGCAATCAGTACATATACTATTTAGTTTAGCTGCCATTTGTTTCTTCCTCATAGGGAAGACTTTGTCAATAAAGGAAGTAGCGCAAGCTCCGTATCTCATCAGAGGCCAGTACTGTGAGTAGCGCAGCTCTCCTGGCTTACTGTGGGTTTTACCAGTGGTCTCAGCCTTTACTCTGGGTGCGTGAGACACCTGCACACTTATTAGACCACTGTGCTCAAATGAGCTGAGAGCGATGGTACCTTTAACGCAGCAGCGAGTTCAAACCTTAACATGAATCGTTTCTGGGGATTACATTCCTCCTCTTCTGGGAACCTCAAGTCTAATTTTTGTTTACTTAGATGTGCAATTAATACTGCAGCCCATTCTGGCAAACCAAAGCAAACACAGAACTCTAGAACCTGGTGAGCAATTTAGTTTTCTGTAATCCTAAGTAGCAAACCCTCCCAAATTCTTCTGACCTAGTTTTCTTTTCTTTAAGAGTACAACACTTGTGAAAAATCAAAACAAAAAGAAACAGTTACTGTGTTTCTGACTTTAAGAGCCATATATCATTATAAAATAATTCAGAAATGTATGAAGATTAAAAACCTATAATCTTGCCAGCCAAAGATAACCACAGTTAACATGTATTTTAAGGATTTTTATTATGTATATGATACACATTAATAAATATTTTTAGAGAAATATAATTATGGTTTACATACTATTTAATAATCTGATTTTCTCAGTTAATAACATGGTGGTGGTAGTTTAGCCACATCTGACCCTTTGCAACCCATGGACTGTAGCCTGCCAGGCTCCTCTGTTCATGGGATTCTCCAGGCAAGAATACTGGAGTGGGTTGCCATTTCCTCCTCCAGGGGATCTTCCCGACCCAGGGATTGAACCTGGGTCTCCTGCACTGCAGGTAGATTCTTTACCAATTGAGCTGTGTAAACACTTATTTTTACCACAGTTAACATCACTCCAAATTCTAACTCATCAGGGCTCCACGTTACGATTTTTAACATACTTCTGAGGGCTGTATACATGTGTGTTTTGAATGTGCTACCTTCTGCTCACTGTATACATGTGTTTTGAATGTGCTACCTTCTGCTCACTGGTCCTCAAGGTGAGTGTGGCTTCAGCCAGCAGACAGCCAGGGTCAGAGACTGACGAGGGCTATCAAAAGGACAAAAGGGGGTGAGGAAACCCATCTTTCCTTTCTGAGGCCCCCGGGTTCTGAGCTGCTGTGTGTGGGCAATGGCTCAGAACCTCAGCTTACAGCAGGGGGACAGGCATGTAAGCGCTGCATGTCCACGCAGGCAGGTGTGGACGCACCTGAATTCGGTCGGCCACGATCTGAGTGAATAGCTCCTCGGGGAGCACGCAGCTCAGGAGCCCGGTGTCGCCTCCAACGCTGGCGCTGACGCTGAGTCGACGCTGTGTGGGCCCCGAGGGGAGAGGGCTGGAGGAAACCTGTTTTGAGAGAGAAGGATCAGGAGTCAGAATCCAGAAGTCTGATATTCCAACAGCTCCTCCACTTAACAGGCCATGTGACCTTGGGAAAATCATCTATTCTCTGGGTCTCATTTTCTCATCTATAAAAGGGGGGTTGTACTATAAACTGGAAGATTCCTATCTCACTTGAATAACTGCTGTTAAGTTTCAAGTAGGAACACTGTGGAAGATGCCTTGTATGTGTATTGAACAGCAAACATTTGTTCATTCATTGAAACATTTGTTCACTTCCACTCTCCACCCTGCTTCCCCCACAAGTAGCTGTATCTATTTTCACACCTTTACTGACTCTAGAGGAAGATGGCACCCATTTCCTTCAACTATGCTTAATCCCGGTCTTCCCTGCCACATTTCCTTGGAATCTCTTTCCCTCTTGGGAAGATCATCATCTGATACTTCTCCAGGAGTTCCTATCTTTACAGAACCTGCTTGTGCCTCTACCTCCTTTAACAGAAAGAACTCTCTTGACCCTGGGTATGCTCCTCTAATGACGATTTGATCTTTTCTCCCTTTCTTTCAAATATCTCAAAAGCTTGCACTCATCTGACTCTGGTTCCCACCAACAATCCACTGTGCCACCCACTCTCTCTGGCTTCAGCCCCTGCTATTCAGCCGAGATTGTTCTTGAAGTCCCTCGGCACATGACTCAAACTCTCTGGTTTCTTTATGACTTTTCAAGACTCCCCTGCAGCCCTCCCACAGTTTATATTAGTGGTTCCATCCTTAACATTGCTTCAGAAGTAGGTTGAACCATTGAAGCTGTTGTAACAGAGGTCTCAAGTGGTTGAATACTGTCAATTTCATATCAATTTTGTATGGTTTAACCTAGTTCTTTTTACATACCTCTTTTGTCCTAATCTCATTTTATTGCAAATAAAATGTGTGGTGATCACCCTCATCAGGCTCTTACTACAGCCTGAGTGCAGGGTTTTGCTTTATTTATCTTCACTTTGCCAGGACCTGACCTGCTTCACACCCGATAGAAGAACACTCCTTTCAGGAGTGATACAGGGGCAGTACCCAGGTCTGCCTGGCCAGGGCACCTGTAGGAATGAGGTTGTGCTGACCCAGATGCAAGATGCCAGGAGGAGGAGGGGTAGGAGAAGGAAGGGGACTAGGGGGAAGGAGGAGGGGGAATCCCAACCCTCGTTTTGGGGAACCCTGATTTGTACCTGGGGCGTTTCGGATGAGTGCTGGTGATGCTGCTTCTGAGACCCAGAGCCGTGGCTGTCTGCCTTGCCCTTGGTGATCAGCACACTTCCACGCACAGGCTTGGTAGGTTTAACTTCGGGAGTTACCAGAGTGCATTCCGAAGTTAACTTGCCCAGGGTCTCACTGCTCAGGCGCAATTGTCCCATGGCATTTTGATTCATAGCAGCAGCCTCCTGGGCTACACAGACAGAGTGGGTTTATATTGAAAATCACCTCAGGGTAATAAGGAAATAATATGGAGGATGACAAGTTGAAACCTAGTGTGATTATTCTGGGGATGGCATAGCCACCTCCACCTGTGGCTGGCCCAGCAGGGCTGGAAGAAGTGGCTCCACCACTGGGGGTGGATGGTGATGATGGTGGGTGTGTGCCCAGTTTGGGCTGGAGCTCCGGCCTACACTGCTCATCTTCTCAGAGACTCTGCCCCACCTTCTCTTCCAGCCCAGAAGGTAATCATTTCCAAAACTGCTGGTACAATTACAGTCCTGCCCTCCTGGGGAAACCTCACATGATTATTACTGTGCTGTTTGACAGTCTTTTATCCTCACTACATCTTCAAAATCTAGCACGTATCATACACTTACAGCACATCTCAGTTTGGACTTGGCACATTTCAAGCGGCCAGCGGGTCCTGTGTGGGACCCATGGGTTTAGATTGGTCACTTCCACCTCAGTATAGCCAGCTGACTTCACAGCAAACAGCAAATGTAGGTTTGGGTTTAACCCCCACCATTGAAAGGGCTTTCTATGAAGTCACCAGTGACTTCTGAACTTAAGAACTATAGCTGTCCTCTTCTCAGGGATCACTCAGTTTGAACTTTCAGCCATCTCTGATTATATTCACTTACTGATTTGATACATGTTTGTAAATCTTTACTGTGTCTACTATGCACCAAGCACTGCTCTAGATGCCAGGAATACATTAGCGACAAAAAACTAATGCAAATCTCTGCCCTTGGAAGCTCACATTCCTGTGGGAGTGGGGGGAAGACAGATAGTAGAGTAAGTAGAATAAATAGTATGTTAACAAGGGATAAGGGCTATGAGAAAAATAAAGAGGGAAGGGTCCCCCAGACTCTTAACTAGGGCTCTGGAGAGACATGAAAGTCCTTCTGGCCCCACCTCTGGCAGCGCTCCTGACTGCCCCTGCCTCTGACTCTGCCTTCTTCACCTCCCCTGGCTTCGTTGCCTCTGCCTCCTCCTGAAATATAAGTGTTCTCTAAGGTCCCATCTTGCCCTGTGTCCATCTCTCTCCTCTTTCTGGAACTTTCTGGACTGATTTCCTATTCTTCAGCAGCCACATCTCTCACTTTGTTGAGGAAGTCTCTCCCAATCATTAAGCCTTTAGCTTGACATTACTTTCTCAGGGAGTTCAAATTTATGATTTGTCAAGGGACATCAACACAGCTCTGAAGACCTCTAGAAATGCAGTTTGACAGAAAAGGAAATTAAAAAAAATCTAACAGAACTAGAATTATGATGCAGCTTGGGGTTCCCACTAAAGGGTGCCAGAATATGCCACCCCAAAAGACTATAGGAGCTCAGGATTCGCCACCTCAAAACATGCTGGCTATTTTGAGCTGCAGGCACTTGAAAAAAGCAGTACATGCAAGGAGTGGGTTTCTCTGACTTCCCCCCAGCCACTTAAAGACAGAGTCTCCCTAAGAAGCTCCAGTCACAAATCCCATCCAGGGAAGTTTCATCAACCAGGGAGATGGACTCTTATCACAGAAGGAAGACTCAAATCCACACTACATCCAAACCATCAGAAGTCAGTATACCTCCCATCCATCCTCCTAAGGCCCCTTCATCTTTCCTAAAAACCACTGACCCTCCCTTCACAGGACCACAACCCCCTTTCCTTTCCCTACTAGGTGGTATTTACTTCTGAATTCTAAAGCCACTCATTTCCCCCTGAGTATTGCCCATGGATACATGAAGCATATATGTTAATAAACTTGTTCTTTTCTTGTTAATTTGTTTTTTATTACAGGGGCACTCAGCCAAGAAATCGGAAAAGTAGAGAGAAAATTATTTTTTATTCCCCACACCACTAAAAAGCTGTTTCTCCCATCTTCCCAGAAAAGAATCTCCCACTTCTCCTGAAAGCCCCAGCCAGGTCTACCAACTAGTCAGCAAGGGACACGGTCAGGAATGACATCACGCTGTCCTAAGCATTCCTATTACAAGAATGAGCCTACTCTCAGCAGTCCATAGATTTTGTCCCGCTAAGCAGCTGCTCTCCTGCCCCGCAGGAGAGGGAGGAGGACCTGAGGGAGTCAGGATTCTGAACCTCTGGTAGGTGAGACTATACTTCTCAGTGGCAAGTACTGCTACTATGGGGTTTACAAACTTAGTTTTCCTCTCCAGTAAACTTTCTCCTTCCTCATGTTCCCTGTCTTGGTAAATGACGTAACTCTCTTTCTGGTTTCTGTGACTGGTAATCGAGTGTGGCCACCTTGAATGCCTCCCCCTCTTTCAATTCCCTGCCATGCAGGTCACTCTCAGCCCCACTCACATTCATTTTCACTACTGCTTTCTTTACAAGACACCATGAGAGTGCCTTTCCTCCTGTGACTTTCTGGCAATTTCTCCCACAGGGTGAAAAGTGCCCAATTCCTCTTTTCCTTCAAAACACAGTCCAAACGCCTAATCTCAGCACTAAGGTCAACTGTGATTGCCCTCAACCTGCCTTCCCACCTCTAACTTACCATCCCTGCTCTCTTGGTCTGGAATGTCCTTATCTTCATCTTTGCCTGTCAACATTCTCCTCCTTCAAAGCTCATTTCCCTGAAAACTTCCCCAAATCATGCTTGTTGGAACTCAGTGATCTCAAAGTTAGTCTTTTACAGAAGCTAGTACTTCTGTTACATACTGTCCTCTGCTCTGCACCTCAGTCCCCGCTCCAGGGGTCACCCACAAAGATGTGGCCATAGTTGCCCTGCTCCCTGCAGTGCCAAGTGCACTGGGCAGCCAGGAGAGTGGATGTCTGTGGGAGAGAATTCTCTGGGGTGCTGATGAGTCAGCCTTCAATGGAGCTGTGGGAGAAAAGCTCAAGGGGGAACTGAGCACCAGCAGTGGTATCAGGGCCGGTTGGCCGCAAAGCGTCAGAGGAAACTGCTCTCACCAGACTCCTCCTCCTTCATGGACTGTTCTATGGCAGCCCGAATGCAGAGCTCCCGGGCTCGGATGCCCGCGATATTGTTGCTGTCAGAGATGGCTTCCAGCATGACAGAGTCAAGGTTCAGGCAGGCAGCGCTGTAGTACCTGGCCATGCTGACTGCGGTGGCTGACTTTCCTACAAGAAAGGTCAGGGAGTTGAATTTTCACGGCTCTCATTTGCTCACTGTTCTCAACAGAAGAAGTTTCTAGGTCAGACGCTCCTATAAAGTGACCCCTCCAAGGTCCCGGCCTCTAAGTCTCTCGTGTGGCATCCAAGAAAAGAGGGAAGACTTGAGCCAGGAGTCATAACTAGGGGTTCTGGTCCTAATTCTACCCCTGAACAGCCATGTGCTATGGCAATCCACATTCCCTCTGGATGTTTTCCTCAGCTTAAAAAGTGATTCTAGCGGATGAACTTTGAAAATCTTGTAGCTCTTACTTCCCTCATTCTACTGGGAAGAGACATTTTTGGTTTAAAGAATAATTTGTGTTGATATCTGTTTTTCTCACTCCAAATACCTGCTCATTAAAAACAGAAAGCAGAAAATTCAGAAATAACAGAAGAAAAAACAATCCATAATTTACTCATCCAGAGAGATTATAGTTAGCATATGGCTGCTATTTATGCATCTGCAACTATTTTATTTACATTTCTTATAAAAAAAAAGTAGTGGGTTAGGTGGTAGGCTGAATAATCCCCCACCCTAAGATGTCCACATCCTAATCCCTGAAGCCTGTGATGTGCTATGCTCAGTTGTGTCTGACTCTTGGTGACCCATGGACTGTAGCCCGCCAGGCTCCTCTGTCCAAGGAGATTAGCCTTTCCCTCCTGCAGGGGATCTTCCCAACCCAGGGTTCGAACCCAGGTCTCCTGCATTGCAGGCAGATTCTTTACTGACTGGGCCACCAGGGAAGCCCAGAGCCTGTAATGTGGTATCTTATATGGTAAAGGGACTCTGCAGGTGTGATTAAACTAAGGATCTTGATGTGGGAGAGTGCTCTGGGTTATCTGGGTGGGCCCAATGTAATAACAATGGTCCTTACAAGAGAAGCAGGGTGGTCAGAGTGAGAACAGGTGATGTGATGATGCAAACAGAGAGACAGAGACAGACAGACTAGAAGATGCTATGAGGCTGCTTTTGAAGATGGAGGAAGAGGCCATGAGCCAAGGAATGCAGGTAACTTTTCTAGATACAAGAAAAGGCAAGGAAATGGACTCTCCCCCTATAGCTTCAAGAAAGGATGCAGCCCTGTTGACCCATTTGAGACTTCCGATCTCCAGAACTCTAAGAAAGTTTCAAGTCACTAAGTTTGTGGTTATTTGTTACAGTAGCAATAGGAAATGAACACAGATTACAAATTGTAAACATGACTTTTTTCCCACTTAAAACAATATATCATGAACCTTTTTCTATTCATTTAATACAGTTCAATGGTACTTTTTTAAATTGTCATAGTATACATACAAAATTTACAATTTTAACTGTTTTTAAGTACACAGCTTAAAAAGCTAAGTATATTCCCAATGTTGTGCAAGCATCACCACTGTCCATCTCCAGCATTTTTCATCTTTCCAAACCGAAATTCTGTACCATTAAACAATAACCTCTCATTCCTCCCTCTGCTCAGACTCTGGAAATCACCATCCTACTTTATGTCTCTATAAATACAATGACTCTAGGGTCCTTATATAAATGGAATCAAACAGTAATTGCTATTTCAGGTCTTGCTTATTTCACTTAGCATAATGTCTTTAAGGTTCATCTACATTGTAGCGTGTGTGAGAATTTCCCTTCTTTTATGGGTGAATAATATCCCACTGTACCACATTTAGTTTATCCACTCATCTATCAATGGACAGTTGGGTTATGTCTTACCTTGTGGCTATTGTGAGTAATGCTGCCATGAAAATGGGTGTACAGGACACTGTTTTTAAAGGTGATATAATTCACTACATGAATGCATGCATGCCTGCATGTGAAGTCACTTCAGTCGTGTCCTAGAGAATGTACTATGGTTTAATTAACTAGTCCCCCATACTGAATACTTCAACTGCTCCCAAATTTTTAGTATGGCTGACAATATTGCAGAGAACACCAATGCAGTCAGTCTTTACCCATATGATTACTTTCCTAAGAGAAATTTTTAGAAATAATGCTGCCAGGTCAAAGAGTTTGCACATATTTCTCCCACCACTCTTCTTAAATGACTTACTGTCTTGGATTTTTCTTTAATATTTTAATGCTATTAAATTATTGAAAGAATACAAACTCCAACAATTCAGAGATGTATTAATTAAAAATGAGGTGTCCCTGCTCTTTCTCTTAACTTTGTATCTCTGAAGTTGGCAATGTAACAATTTAGGGATAATCCTTTGGTACATAAATCTCAAACAGAAGAGTATTTTATTGCCTCAAAAATGGCACATGCAAATTTCACTGTAAATGTATCCCAAAGGGGCAACTCTTTAGGCCTGTGCATACCTGACAAGGGCGTCCCATGGATGATGATGGCGATGCCTTTCCGGTTCTTGGCCATGCGGCCTTCTGCAGAAATGTCAATGCCCAGGTAGCGAGCAATGGCCTTGCTCACTGGGTTGTTCTCTACTTCTCCAACCTCTTCCGCAGAGTGGCTGTCAATACTCTGAATCTTGTCAGCTACAAATTAAAAATACATGTGCATATATGCGTGCATGTGGACACACCCACAATTCACATGGATTCTGATGAAAATGGGATGACTTTTCCTAGCCTACGTGTTATTTTAAAATGACCAGCACAATCTGCAGCAGATGTTGCTGCCAGCGTTACTCACTTCATAGCATACAAAAGTGCCCTTTTTGGCTAATAATTTGTCCGTAACTACTAGAATTGAAAACACAGATTACTCTCTGATTCTTAATTGCATTTGGAGGAATCTCTCCTGCTTAAAAATAACACTGGAAACTAGTGTTTGCAATAGTAAGGGACATGGCTAAATAAATGATGGCCTGCTCAAACTGTAGAATTAACACACGACTGTGCTAGTTAAATGTGTTTTATGGAGAAAGGTGAAAGGCACTGAACAGACTTTCCACTTTTGCTTAGAAGGAACTGGTACCCAAACGTTAAAATGCATGATTACTTTGAAACATGATTTTTTCCAGGCTTTCCTCATCCTCCTCTTCCTCCGGGTAGGTCTTGGATTCAACCACTGGGACGTGCCGCTCTTCCAGGTTGGATGTGACAGAGATCCCTCGGCTAAGCGAGGTCCTCTTTGTGCTTGCTGAAGTGCCCTGCTCTGACAATGGACCGTCGTCCTCTTCTGCCGGGGGAAAAGGATGGAAACACACAGGAAGAGTCAGGAAGAGGACCAGGGAGATGGGGCAAAGAAGGGAAGAGAGACAAAGAGGAGAATCACTGAACTGCTTACCATCAGCCTGGACCATCTGACCCAAATTAAAAAGAACTGCAGTCAGTCTGCCTTTAGATTTCTCTGCCCAGAGTGTTTCCACATTTTAACATTAAAAAAAGATACCAAAATTATACATTCACCCCAGAAAATTTGGGACATTCCAAAGAGCAAAAAGGATAAAATTTAGCTGCAGAAAATGATACAAAAAAATGGTGGTAGAGGAATGGCAGCTTCATTGGATGATACCAGAGTTGAAGAGCCGCAGCCTCTCAGAGTTTTAATTTTTCCAAACTGAAGTTGGGATCATACTGTATGCACACCAATTTGTAGCCTGCTTTCCTCCTTTTCATGAGCATTGTTGAGCTCATCTACTACTTTATTTGCCCCGAACCCTCCTCACTGTCCTGATTCCACAGAGTTTCAGTGGGTGCATCAGGCTGTCATTGTCCAAAGTCTGCTCTGCCCTGGAGCTAAGACATCCTCTTTGTTTAATTTTGGATTTGAGCCAGAGAGGTTGTGGCTCTCCTGGGAACGGCAGCGCGACTTGGAGCTGCGAGCCTCCCCTGGACGTGGTCTGGAAGCAGAGGAGGACGGATCCTCTGTGAGGCAGCAGAGCGAGCAGGAGCTCAGAGAGGTGCTGGGGAGGAGCAGAGCGAGCGCCTCCCTGGACTCCTGCTGGCCCTCAGGTCGCAGCTCCAGACCAGCTTTTCATGGGCCAAATGGAAAGGTGTGTAGGATGGGGATGAGAGCAACAGGGCCCTTCCTGACCCTCACTAAACCCTCTCTACCCTAAAGCTTCTCGTGGCTCTCTGCTTTGGGCCACCAGGCAGTTCTGGTTCCATCCCCCAACTCCCTTCCTGACTGTGAGCTCTCAAAGGCAGGGGCTGGTTTCACTGATCTCCCTTCCAGCACGTCAGTCAGCTCAGTGCTTGGAACACAATGGGTGCTTGTTATGGACTTAACTAGTTTCCATAGAATTTTATTTGCTGAAGTCCTAAGCCCCCCACCCTCACCCTGGTATGCTAGAATGTGACTACTTGAAGACACGGCCTTTCAAGAGGTAATTAAGTTAAAATGAGGTCATGTGAGTGTCCCAATCCATCCACAGCCCAACACGACTGGTGTTCCTACAGGAAGAGATTAGGACACAGACACACAGGGGGACGTCCCTGTGAACACAGGGCGGGAAGACAGTCATCTACAGGCGAACAAGGGAGGGTCACAGAAAACAACTCCACCAGCACCTTCATTTGGGATCTCTAGCCTCCAGAATCATGAGAAAACAAGTTTCATTTGGTTAAGCCCCTAGTCTGTGGTATCTGCAATGGCAGTTCTGGAGAACAATACGCTCAGTGAATACAACCAGGAGACTAGGTGAACAGGCAGCCGCCTTCTCTTCTCTCCTTTTAGAGCAAACTAATGTTCTCCAACTAGCTTCTGTCTCCCTGAGAGACAATAAGACAGCTTTAAGAGCAGGAGAAATGGACTTCATTCATTCACTTTAACAGCACACATTTATTGGGCACTATGATGTACCAGGTGCTGGTCCATGCACTGGGTTTACATTGGGGAATACATGGTCACTGCCTTTATGGGGGCTTCTTGTTTAGGGGGGGAGATGGGTGTGAAGAAAATACACATGATGACTATTATGCAGAAGAAAGAAAGAATGGGGAAGGTGAATTTCCAGGATGAGGGCACAGGGAAGAAGGGAAGACAAGAAGCACCCCAACAAGCCACACGATCCTACAGGTTACCCTGGAACCCTGATGTTCAAGTGTACACAAGGGGGCCCCTGGGCAGATGACAGATAGCCTGGGGATGCTGGGCAAGAAAGGGCAAGATTATAAGAGCACAGTCTAGCTTTGTGATTGAGGTTATGATCTGGAGGGTCCTTCCTCATGTGAACTCCCACCCCTACCTCTCGTAGGGCACTAATGTCTACCATGCGTGACAGATTACCTTGCGTCACCTAGGCACACATTTGGAGGCTGTGGAGTAGAGCGGTCACTGTCGTGGACTCCAGAGTCAGAGAGATCTGGGCTTGAGTGCTAGTTCTGCCACTTAAAACTGCGGGCCTGGCTTTTCAGTGCTTCCTCTCTCATCTGCATGTGTGAAGCCCTCAGCACAGAGCTTGCAAGCATCTAGCAAGCATCCTTCTATATCTGCATTAGCTGTTTTTTTTTTTTTTTTTTTTTTTTTTTTTTTTTTTTTTTTCATTTATTTTTATTAGTTGGAGGCTAATTACTTTACAATATTGTAGTGGTTTTTGCCATACACTGACATGAATCAGCCATGGATTTACATGTATTCCCCATCCAGATCCCCCCTAGCTGTTTTTAAGCCTCGACTCCCCACCAGACTCCAGTGAGAGCAGAATGTGTCCCCGTGTCTGCATCCATACAATGGGGACAACAGGGCCATTCTGTAAGGGTTAGAAAGGAAATCCCCAGGACACCTGAAGCCTGCCTGGCACCTGGCAGGTGCTCAGTAACTGGTTCATCTCCCATTAGAGATAACTTAAAGAAGCCAGTGGCTCCAGAATTGTTGAGTTCTCACCGTTCTCCTGCGCCAGACTCTCCAGATATTTCACCTTCATCTGCTCCTCTTTGGCCCGCTTTATCTCCCTGAAGTACTCAAACACCTCTGGGGGCAGCTTCTCCCCCGGAAGGCGAGGAGGCAGCAGCAGAGAGTTGTAGGAATCATAGCCCTTCAGTGTTCGCAAGATCTGCGTAAGGAGAATGGGAGTTGCTGTTGGTCTGAGTGGAAGCTTCCTCCCCACAGCCCCTGGTGGGCCTGCCATTCATCTCATGAAAGCCCTGCTTCTACCCAAGGCTGGGGTGTGCACAAATACTTTTTGGACCTCAAAGGGTAGGGTCCTCTGCAGAGGTCTAAAGTTTAAGGCTGAGTTCTGGATATGGGGACATATATAGGGACATATAGGGGACATATATGGGGGACATATATAGGATTTTGTGTCTGGGTATTTCCCATGTGGAAAAGAATTATCTCCTTGCTTTAAAAACAACATATATTGTTTTTCTTTTGTTTTTTTCCCCATTGACAAAAGTACAGAACTCAATTATCCACTTTGAGTGACATGTTATTTTAAAAAAAAGGTTGTCTCATAAGGATATAGAGAAAAACAGGTAAAATGGCATTAGGTATGTATGTGCATATGTGTGTGTGTGTGTGTGTGTGTATGTGTGTGTGTGTTTGAGAGAGAAACATAGAGACAGATGTATATTAGGGTTGTCAGATGAAGCATAAGATGCCTAATTAAATTTGAATTTCAGATAAAAAACTGGTAATTTTTAAAGTGTGAATTTGTCCCACACTGTTTATCTGGAATTCAAGTTTAATTGGAACAACCTGTTTTTCTTTCTACTAAATCCAGCTACCCTAGGGTGTATGTATATTTAGTATAAAAGACAGTAAAGTCGACTCCTAGAAAGCAATTACTTCCTAAGTTACTGGTGTGAAAAATCAGTTAGGTAACCATTCTCCAAGATCACCAATTTTAGTTGTTTGAAAACCAATATTAATGAGTTCGTTCTAAAATTTACATGGAAGAGCAGAGGGCTAAGGATAGCTAAAACGCTAATGAAGAAAAACAGAGAGGACTGTTCTACCAGATATCAGGACCTATGAAGTTGGAGCGACAGACTGGGAGGTATAGATGTTGGGGTAGACAAACTGAAATAGAGGAGAAAGTTCAGAACAGACCCATGTGTATGCAGAGCTTTGATGAAGGACAGAGGCGGCACAGCAGATCAGTGGGGAAGGAAGGATTGGCCCAAAGATTGGCTGACACAGAGACACAAAGGCCTGGCCAACTTGCTTCACCTGGGCCAGCCCAGGTACACAGCGTCCTGTGGGATCAGCTGAATGCCCTGTGCCACATCGTCACACTTTATCTTCTTGTCTACCCAGGCCTACAGTCCTTATTCTTCACAGGATCATCCCTGAGACTGCTCCCTGATAAACCTTCTTCATGCAAATCTCAGAGTCTCAGATTCTGCTTTCCTCAGACCCTGGCCCACAGTGAAGGCTGTTGTGCCAACACAAGCCATTGAACACTTAATATTACCTAGTGGAGAAGCTTGCTTCCAGAGGGACAGAGTCCCATTTGGAGGAAAATTTCCAGATACAGAATCCAAATTGGGCAGAGCATAAATACTGGACGTAAAGACAATATTCAAAGGCCAAGTTGGTGGAGAGTTCAGAGGAAGCAGATCTTAAATGCATACTACTAAGTGAAAGAAGCCAGTGTGAATGTCTACATGTGATATGATTCCACCTACATGGCACCCTGGAAAAGGCAAAACTACAGAGACAGTAAAAAGATCAATGGTCACCAGGGGTTGGGAGGAGGGGGAATGAACAGGTGGAGCACAGAGGATATTTAGGGCAATAGAAATACTTTATACGACACTATAATGATGGATACTTGTACATTTGTTTACATCCCTAGAATGTATCAAGAGTGGACTGTAAACTATGGACTTTGGGTGGTTAGGATGTGTCACACAAGTTCATTAATGGTAACAAATGTACCATTCTAGTGAGGGAGGTTGATAATGGGGGAGGCTATGCCCGTGTGGGGGGAAGGGAGATGTGAGACATCGCTGCACCTTCCCCTCAATTTTGCTGAGAATCTAAAACTTCTCTAAAAAAATTAAGTTAAAAAAAATGGATAAGGCAGAGCAATTGTAAAATATGCAGCCCAGAACAAACTGGGGAGTAAAAGGCAGACTGAAGTCCTAACGTGATTACATTAAATATGCTGTAATATATAAATACCCCAATTTAGACACTGCCAAAGTATATTAAAAAGATGACCAAATATATGCTGTCCGCAAGAACCTCACTTCAAATACAATGTCTGTGGCATACGTTCTTTACTGTTTTAACCATAAGCATGAATTAGTTTTTCAATTAGTTGTTTAAAATGTATAATGAGATCACAAAGAAGCAATGAATTCTCTCAAGGTGAGGGAAGTAGGTCAGGAAAGACTGTGAAGTGGTCTTTAAATTGACAGGGAAGGGTTCATAGGAAGAGGAGCAAAGGTCAGGAGTTGTCCAAGCAGATAGGGGAGTACCTGGCAGGGCCCAGCATGTGTAGGAAAATGGAGCTTGGTTTCGGTCTGTGCTCACCTTCTCTTCTACAAGATATTGCTGGTCAAATTCTAAGGAGTAAAACTCAATGGGAAAGCTGCAGGGATTCTTCACCACCACCTCGGCCTCACCTCCAGCTGCGTAGGGCAGCAGGGGCCCCAGCTCTAGAACCGAGGGACTAAATTCCAAGCGTGGTTCTAGACCTTGCCCTTCCACCAGCAGAGTAAGCTTTTGAGCGCTCTGGGCAATCTGGAACACCAAGGTTTGGCTGTAGAATTTCTGGGAAACATAAAAACAAAACAAGCATCTGAATCTGTTTCTGTTGTGTGTCATGTAAAACTGATAACCACTGGAGAACATAATAGATTCTGTTTAGATTAAGAAAGAAAACTTTTCTTATAAAACTGCATGAGAGCAATTTAGATTAGAGTGTTAATGCTGGGAATCTAGCATGCCAGGCACTGTACCAGTGCTTTATCATAGTCCTCAGAATGTTGTTCTCATACCCTTCAGAACCTCCAATGTGCTCAAATATCCCACTGCCACTATGTGTACCTCTGGGCTCTCATTTCATGGGCCCTGCTTCCCATAAGTATAGGGCAGGGCAGAAATGCTGGAGAAATAACACCTTCTGGGAACAATCCTCAATCAATGATTCCCGGGAGTTATTGTATGAAGACCTGAGCTCCCTCACTCCTGGGGAAGGAAGATTCTGAAATGTGCATTTTGTATATTTTCTCTGAGTTTCCAGTGGGATTAAGATCCAGTGTCCAAGGTAGCTGGCTCACTCTCACACCCTATTAGCTGCCTTCCTTTTCCTGATCACTTTCTACTTCTCTATTAGTATCCCTTACACTTCCTACAGCGTACACTCAAATTCTTGACTCCAAAGTCTGTTTCCTAGAGAATCTGAATGATCACACTTCTATTATTTGAAGAAACAGTTAAGCAACTGGTCAGAGATGATCAGCTAGGGCAACCAATTCATCTCATACAATTACAATCCAAATACCAGTGACACTGACACCAGTTACCCTAATCTGGTTTCATTGAGAAATCTATCAAAATGCATATTCACAGGCCCATTCCTAGAGACCTTGTCTTGGCAGAGAAAGGATGGGAATTCTGCACTTTTAACCAGATGCCCAGGTGGTTGTGAAACTTGGGCCCATGGCGTGGGTTTGGGTGGTATGATTGACTGAGCAATTTGGGGAGCTCTTGAATACCTTAGTTCAAAGGGGAAAATCAGATAGATGGAATGTGTAAGGATGTAGATACAAGTTCAAAAAATACCTATTGTTGGAGAGGGTAAGAAAATGAATTATTGGCTATGAAGCTTTTCTATATAATTATGGGCTTAGCATCTTATGTGATCCAAATTTCTATGTCTTAACTGCTTGTTAGGGAAATATTTCCAAAGCATTTCATTCGTCTCCTTGTGTTCAGAGCGCATCACAACGCCTAGGAGCTGTCGGTGGGGCATCAATAGCTTCTCTTGCCTCCGGTGCTGGTGCAGACACACGTGTGGACCGTACGGATCGCAGGCGAACCAGCTCCTAGTCTGCGTGCATGCTCAGTCACTTTAGCCGTGTCTGATTCTTTGTGATCCTACGGACTGTAGCCTGCCAGGCTCTTCTGTCCTTGGGACCTTCCAGGCAGAAATACTGGAGTAGGTTACCATTTCCTTCTCCAGGGGATCTTCTGACCCAGGGATTGAATCTGCCTCTCTTACGTCTCCTGTATTGGCAGGTGGGTTCTTTACCACCAACTCCACCTGGGAAGTCCTTGTACACAGCCAATAAATTTCTCTCCCAACTCTAATTTGAAAAGATGCATCCCAATGTTCATAACAGCACTGTTTACAATAGTCAAGACATGGAAGCAACCTAAATGTCCATCAAAAGATGAATGGATAAAGATGATGGGGTATCTATGTATAACGGAATTAAAAAGAATGAAATAATACCATTAGCAACATGGATGGACCTAGAGATACTAAGTGAAGTAAGCCAAAGACAAATATCATATGTTATCACATATGTGGAATCTAAAAAAGTGATACAATGAACTCATTTACAAAGCAGAAATAAACTCACAGCCATAGAAAACAAATTCATGGTTACCAAAAGGGATAGTGGGGTGAGGGCAAAAATAAATGAAAGCCTTTGGGATTAACATATATATACTACTATTAACAAAATAGGTAAACAACAAGGACCTATTGTATAGAACAGGGAACTCTACTCAATATCTTCTAATAACCTATAATAGACAAGAGTCTGAAAAAGAATACATATATATATTTAACCAAATCACTTTGCTGTGCACTTGAAACTAACACAACATTGAATACTGTAAGTTAGCTATACTTTAATAAAAATGATGCTTAAAAAACTCCTCTCCCATTTGGTGGAAATATTAATTTTGATCAATTCATTTATGGAATTACTCAAATCTATGTTTTTTACTATATTTACTGATAATTCTCTCATTCAGTAAGACATCCAAAATCTTGAGTAGCCCCACTGATAGTCTTAGGACTTCCTAAGAATGACAAACATGTTAGTTTTCTTTTCTTTTAAAGGACCAGAGAGATTTTGACAATGATAGAAACAGGGACTCTATTTTAGAATCAGATATGAAACCATTCACTTTTCTTTCTTCTCACTAGATTCTTAAGCATCTCATCAAAGCTGTTACCTGGAAAACAGGAGTTAACTATAGGTGTTTTATAAAACTCACATCCATTTCTTTCTTTAAAAGAATAGAGGAAAAACATCTCCCAAATGCCTTAGACTTTGAGCAAAAGTCTTAACAGTGTAACCTCTTGAGATCCTCTCTGGTTCTAGGATTTTATCATTTTTCACTGGGTTCTTTGTCAGGAGTAGCTTTGTGTTGATGGTGTTTGCAAAAGAGACATTTGTGAGGCCCAGGGAGTATGTTTATCAGGAAGTACTTATTATTATCAACTACTGATGATAACAGTAAGTAGATAATGAGCCAGTACATATAGAGCAGAATGATGTGCATTTTATTCACATTAATTCATTTCCTCTTTAAAATGACCCTGCTGCTGCTGCTGCTGCTAAGTCACTTCAGTCGTGTCCGACTCTGTGCAACCCCACAGACAGAAGCCCACCAGGCTCCTCTGTCCCTGGGATTCTCCAGGCAAGAACACTGGAGTGGGTTGCCATTTCCTTCTCCAATGCATGAAAGTGAATCCACCCCCCCGGTTTTTAGATCTTATTGGATTTTGAAATTGCAATAAGGGATCTGGGGACATATGATATTACTATTTTTCATTTTATCTGTGAGCAAACTGAGGTCTAGTGAGGCTGAGTAATTTGTCCAAAATCATGCTCTCTCCAAGCACAGAGGAAGAAGGCAACTAAGCCAGGTCTGCTGATAGAAGTCAGAGTATTAGACAGGAATCAGCGCCGCTGCTGCTGATGCCAACAACAGGGCTCCTAACCACCAGGACACAGCTCCCGTATGAACCAGAGTACTGGATGTCACAATCAGAACAATGAGGGACAGGTCACTCAAAGCTTCCCTGGAGATCAATTAAGCATGGACTTCAAGTAAATCTCAAAGAGATCCAGGGAGTCTGACTACATTTCTTTAGAGCTTACCTCCTCTTTGGGCATGAATTTCACTTGCACGTTGGACCTCTCACCAGGATCCAGGACCCCACAAGTGGGCTGAATCTCAAAGATCCGTGTCTTTGGCTTTAATTCAGCGCATAGTTTGCGTCTTAAGTATTTTGGCATGTGTTTCTCCAGCTGGTGAAGTAATAATAGACAATTAGATCATTTTCTTTGGAAAATGATTCCATTCTCCATTCACTCAACCTGTGTTTACTGATTATCTCCCTGGTGTCAGGGGATGTGTGGAGCCAGGGGCACAAAGATAAATAAGTTATTTGCCAGATAGCATGGCCTGATAGGCCCTTGACTGTTGGGCTGAGGGCTACATTTTATTCAGGAGGCAGTGGTTGTCACTGAAAGTCTTTGAGCAGGAGGGTGAAATGAAGAGAATGAAAGTCTAGAATTATGAAACTGGCACAAATGGAGAATGGAAAAAAGGCGACAAAGGACCAAAACTCCCTTACCTTACTAACAACTTGCTTATGGCTCTGGACAAACCATTCACAAGGGACTTGGAGATGATTGGAAAGCTGAATAGTTTCCACAAGGCACTGTCCACACTGAATTGTGGCAAACTCCACTTTTCCACAAGACAGTGTCATACTGGGAATGGTCACCTTGGCTTGGAGACAGATATGAACTGGTGGCCCTCCAACCACCTAGAGTGGGCATAAAATTGCTGTCACCACATAGCACAGGCTTGGAGGAAGAATCATGGCTTTGAAATAGCTGTGGATCATCACAGGGTGGTCAGCAAGCAGGGCTGGAAGCTGGGGAGGATCAGCTGGACCCAGTGGCGCGTCTTACCTTGATGGGCAGAATGACCTCTTTGTTGCCAACAGAAACATTGCCCCCTCGTGTGTCGAATCGCACTTCAAATGTTTCCGTTTCACAGTAAGGCAGATTTTTCACACGATCTAGCTCAATACTGAAGCCTGGGCCAAGACAAACAAAACGTTGTGGGAAGGAAAAGTAGCAGTCAAGAGCTGCTCTAGAGAGAGCCCACCTGAGGCAGGACAATCCCTCAAAGTATCGATTAATAGCCCAACAGTTCTTTCAGCTGATCCCAGAAGAAACACAACCACCTCTCCAGGACAGTACAGCTGGGAAACTTGTCAGAAATGACAGCATACAATAGGAAGGGTCTCCAGCCTGGTCACCTGTGTCATGAAGGACACGCTTCTCTGCATGGAAGGACACTGGAAAGTGACTGGTGTTGGTGATCTTGATGATGTGGGTTTGGACGTCACCAAGGATGATGTAGCCAAAGTCCAGGATGTATTCTGGTAGCTGGACTCTGAAACAGTGAACAAGCTCTCCTTACCACTTGTGTTTCCATATGTGAGACAGTGTGAGGCTCTCTTCTCTATCCTCTGCAGAAGTCCCTTCTGTGGGGTAGAGAACCACCACTCTCCAGAATGGAGGCTAGAGATGAGACACCTCCCCCAGGGGACTTCTGCTTTAGCCCTCATCTCTAAATGCAGTCAGTGCTGGTCCTTAAGCACCTGAAGCCCAGCTTGTCTATTACACAAAGTGGGAGGTTTCTAAGAGGCAGAGACCTGCCTGGCTGGCTGGCTCCTGGAGAAGAGCAGATATGTGAAGCGAATGGATTTCATCCCAACACGATCACCCATTAATTCAGGGAGCACTCTGGTGGAGAACACCACCAGCTCTGCCGCATTCTGAAACAAACATGACAGGGAAGATCGCTTACTTGATTGGTTTACGGCGACTCCGATGGTAGAAGTCATCCGTGGAACCAGGGACAATTGATTTCTGATGTTCCATGGCATAGTCTTGGACTATAAGTCGCTCTACTTCCATCTGGAGGTGAGCATTTAACTGGAGCAAGAGAGAAGAGCAAGTGAATAGACTCTTTTAAAATATGCATTCTCAGTGGGGGCAATATCACCCCAAAGGGGCAAAAACTACTTTGTGGAGGGAAAGTCAGAAAATCTTAGATATTGCAATGGCTTGTGGCCCTCCAAAGGGTCAGAGTACATAAATAGATATACAGTATAACTATGGGGTTAAAATTTTTATTGCAGGATAGAGTAGGCTAAACAAACTGTGCATCTATGCCATGGAATATTACTCAGCAATGAAGTAAGGAATGAACCATTTATGTTAATGGCTCTCAAGGGCATTATGCTGAATGAAAAAAACATCTCCAAAGGTTGCATATTGTATGATTCCATTTATATAACTTATATGCTCATAACAAGAGTACAGAGATGGAGAACTATAGTGGTTGCCAAGCAAAAAGGGGTGAGGAGCCTGGGGACGGCTACATCAATGTAAGCATGTAAGGGCAAAAACAAATTAAAAATAAGAGGCTCAAGGGAGTTCATGGTTGCTCAGTGGTTAGTATTCTGGACTTTCACTGCTGTGGTCCAGGTTTAATCTGGGAACTGAGATCCCGCAAGCTGTGTGGCACAGCCAAAAAAATACAGAGGCTCAATTCCCCCTGTTAAAAATAAGGATGAAAACTTATGTCAGCTTCACTTTTCTTGCGCATTTACTTAAGAAAACTTGCAAGTTCTTTCTTTGTCTCTTAGAAATATATATATAAATATTTTTAGAGGGTAAGCCTTTTGTCAGCTTCATAACCCAGGAGTGTCTTTCTCAAGGACCTGGGAACCATCTCTTTGACATGGTTTGGCATCTTTGTATCACCATCAAGGAATACAGAGCCCCATCTCCCAGTTTCTATGGGAGGACAGAGTCCAACTTCAGAGGACTCTATCATAAAAACACAAGAGGTTTGTTTTCCCTTTGGGTAAAGCCAATTAGCTAACACAGATGATCATTCCAATTACCATGTGAGTACAGCATGAACTAAGTGTGACAAACGGTGCTGTTAAGTCCTCTTACCTGAGGACTAGTTATAGATCTTAAGGACTAGTTACTTTGAGAACTTGCATATAATGGGGGATTATATATTATATATAGTGGGATTGTATCTGCTTGGCTCCATGAAAGACTGAGATTTCTTTCTGTCTTTGCAATCTCCTAGCAGACTAGCAGAAACATGGAGCACTTTCTACTTTAATGTTTATCAATAATAAACTTGGATTCTTTCTTTGTGGAAAGGTTTTGTGGGTTGGAAAGAGAGTTTGTCTGTAATTCTATTTTTCCCTTAACAAGCACAAGGGATACTTAGGAGATGAAACACTTCTGTGTTTTAATTGTGGTGGTGTTTACACAAAGCTATACATGGAAAAATTGGGTAGAATCACACACATATATAGATATGCATACGCAAGTAGACATGCAGATAGACACACACATGAGTACATATAAAACGGATGAAATCTGAATAAGCTCTGTGGCTTGTACCAATGTCAGTTTTCTAGTTTCTATATGGTTCTATAGTTACAAAAGATGTTACCATTGGGAAAAACTTTTTTTTTCTTGCAGCTTCCTGTGATTCTAGTTCCTGTGCAGAGGGAGGCCACTCTTACCTCAGAAGATTCATCATCAGGCACATTCTCCTCTGGTGTCTCTAAGTGATCAAGCGTTTCACATTTATTGCACTCTTTCTCTAGGTTTTTTCTGGCCTGGTTTAAGAAGATCTCATACTTTTCACTTCCTGTGGGGGTTGGAGTTAGAAGGAAATCTGGATGGCTAGAAATATATGAATTATGCCTAAAACATAGATTCAAAGCTCAAGGTCAATAAAGTGAGAAGGGAAGTGAACCTTGTGATACTTCGACTGCCATGTTTTCTCTGCTTCAGAGGATATTTTGTACCAGAGACCTCACTGAAGTTAATAACACCATGCTTTAGTGAGCTACTATCTAGTTCTCAAGAACTTTATGGCAATAACACCCTGAATCAGTTGTGGGGTGACCAACTGGATCCCAGCTTACTTGATATTTTGCCAATTTAAGCACAGACGGCTGTACCACTTGGGAAACCTCTCCATGTTGGACAAACCCAGGTGGATGGTCACCCTTACGGTGGTCTTCATGTTTATTGATTATCTATTAACTAAAAGAACATATTTGATTCAAGTTGCTTTAACTAAAACTAAATAAGCTACAGTCTCCCTGAATCAGGGAGGGCGGGCAATGGCGGGAGAAATGTCAAACACCCAAGTTCACCAGTAAGCCAGCACAAATTCAAACGCCCAAGTAGATAAAATAATTTAAGTGTCTTCTGTGAAACCACAGGAAATGCTGAGACTGTGGTGAAGACCCAACTAATACTCAGATTTAAATTATTTTAAAGCTCTGAATTGGTTAAACATGTGTACTGCCATAAAGAGGCCAGATTGGCATCCAGTTTTCAGCCATGAGGCAAAGGGTTTTCTTCTTGAAATTGTATGTGGAGCTGGACTAACCTATGTCTGGTTGGAACTCTAGATGCTAGAAAGTAACATGGTCTTAGATTTACTAATATTTGTGTTCATATTTTCAGGAAGCAGACAGTTGGGATACAATGAATCAACAGGTGAGTTAGTGACTTTGGGGAGTGGGGCAGGAGGAAAGGCTGAGGAGGGAGAGCTTAGTCTGAAGCTGCTTGGGGGATGTGGGTTTCAAGGAACCTGAAGAGTGACAAGTTTCTCTTGACTCCTCATCCTGCAGCCCATGTCAGGAAGAAAGAGCCAGAGTCAGTCCATGGCTCAAAAAGCTGCTTAGTTGAGCTTCAGAATCTGCTATGACAGAAATACTCTGGTACACAGTGATGGCTCCAGGAGCTGGATGTTGCCCAGAAAAGCCTTGGCTAGGGATGTGGGCAGACAATTAATAACAGTCTAAATTAGCCCCCAAACTGAGTAATGCCAGCATAAGGGGTTGGAACCTTGGTTGCTTCTCTCTACAGTTTATATTTTGAGAATTGTACTCCTTGCAGTAAAATTAGCTGTAGCCTTCTCAATGGCCAACCATGAGTGACAACTCAGGGAGAGAGTGCAGCTGGAAGGAACATGCCATGGACGAAAAGGCATTTGGAAGTGCGAAGTCCTGATCACTCTGTAATTTAATAATGGCAAAATTGGCCAAACATCTTAATTTGGGACTGTCATGGATGTATCTTGTTGCACTCATCTCGGGTCATCCAGTCAATTTCAACTTTTGATGTGTTTTGCAACTGAGGAATAACACAAAAGGGAGGGCTGCCAAACAAATAATGCAGACTGCTGGCACTCTTTTGATAAGCAGCTAAAATGCATCTTGTTATCCAGTGGGGAAATATTACAGGGGGTAGAAGTACCTTTGAGGTTCCTGGGGAGATCGAGGGAGATTCGGGGAAAGATTCCCTCTCCACTCAGAGTAATATTTTCTGGGTCCAGGTGGGCAATCTGTATCTGGAAACTTCTTTGAAAGATCTCAGGCACTCCAGGTAAGTAATAAACCTTCAATACTTGCTCTTTATGGGAACTGATAAAACCCTATGCAGCAGAAAGATCAGAGAGAACTTTAAGTAAAATTTACAATAGACTCTTGCTTCCAGCAGTTTGATGCACTGAATAATCCCAAGGGCTTAGTGTATGCCATAGTGTCCACTCACACTGCTCTCCCAAGATTCATTCCTATGCAGGTGTGAGAAAATGACAGACAATAGGAAAATAGGCAGCATATATGGGCAGGCATTTCATAAAAGAGGAAACCGGAACAGCAAGTTAACACAGTGAAAGCTGCTTACTCTCAAGTAATCAGGGAAATGGAAATTAAGATCATAATGAAAAAAAATTTTAACCATAAGATTGGCAAACTTTGCCAAATTTCAGTAAGACTATGAACCAAAAGAAACTCATTTCCATCTGGTGGGAAATCACCAGATTTTTCACAGAAAAAATCACCATGAAAACTGTGTTAGCACCTCCTTATAAAGTTGAACAAATGCATAGCCTATGACCTCAAAATTTCACTCCTAGGAAAATTCTCTGTGAAAATTCTTCCACCTGTTGGCTGGGACACAGATACAAGAGTATCTATAGCAGGATTATTTAACAGCAAAACTTGGGCAGGGGTGGGGGGGAATCCCCAAATGTGTTTGTCAGGGAAAAGGAAAACTACTTTCAATGTAGTAGTTACAAAATGAGTATTGTACATTAGTGAAAATAAATGAACTGCAGCTACATGCAACAATATAGACTAGCCTTAAAAACAAAATATTAGGGGGAAAAATTGTGCAAATTACAGGTACTGATGACATTTTTATAAAGCTCAAGATAAAGCAAAATCCCATAAAACAAAATCTCCATGAGGGCAGGTATCTGTATATTTTGTTTACTATTCAATTACAAGTTCTAGAAAAATACCTGGTCATTGAAGGTGCTTAGAAGTTTTGATAAAGTGATAAACTAAAAGTACTTGATGTAAAGATGCATACATATATAATAAAACTGTATTTTACAAAGAGAATGACAAACATAAAATTCAGACTAGTGGTTGCTGGCCCGGGGGTAGCCAGAAAGCATATGAGAGACAAAAAGAGCCTGGGTAGATTGCAGTATGTTGAACTGCATGCACCAACACATAAGTGATTTCAAATATATTAGTAATGTTCTGAGTTTGAAGATGGGTGGTAGGTACATGGGTATTCATTTTTTTATAATGCTCTATAAGTCAAACACATGTGACATGGATATCTTCTATATACATCAAATATAATATAACAAATCTTAAAAATTGTGAATAAAGTCACAAAATAAGGACTCTAGGTCAGTAATCAGAAAATAAAAGTAGGAGAATTTTATGGTAAAAAAACTACCAGAAAAGGCAAATCAGCCTAGAATATAAGCCGGGGAAAATGCTATTATAGATTCAAGTTATTTAGAAGTGCTTTAAAAGTCATCTTTGAAGGGGCCTCTAATAGTTTTTTAACATATTTTATTGTCTTTTGATGTTACAACTGATGTATATTCTTTGAGGAAAAATTAGAGAATGAAGATAAGAAAAAGCCTGAGTCATGAAAACTTAAGGAGTCTTAATGTACACTGACAGATCACTGTGGTTAATCCAGGTCAAAGTATTAACTCAAAATCTGACCCCTTGAGGTAGCTGGCAAAAACAAGTGCAACACTATTGGTAGCATCACATTACAATCCAGGGTGAATGAGGCTCTCCCAGAGAGAACAATCTCAGCTGAAGATGACCCCAAGTCAAAGATTACATATCATACAGGGAAAGCACTGATAATGAAAGAGAGTCAACAGTCACATAAATAGGAATAATAATAACTCAATTAGAAAAATTTAAAAGAATGTACAAAATGATTAGTGATAAATGAAGAAATTAAAATCCCAAGTGAAAGTGGTGAATCAGATGGAATTTCTGAAATTAAGAGAGTAGGGTTAAACAGTAGATTATACTCAACTGAAAAGGAAATTAGTTAACTGAAAGAGCTGAGGTAGTTATCTAGAAAACAGTATAGAGAGATAAACAGTCAAGAGATACACATGTGCAATATAGGTTAAGAAACATGGACAGAGTGAAAGGTCCAACATATGTCTAACATTTGCTTTAGCAGACTAGAGAAAGCCTAGAGAAAGTAGGGTAGAAGCAATACTTGAAGAGATAAGAAATGAAAGACACAGATCCTCAGGATGAAGGTGTGCTGTGTGCTGAGTCGCTCAGTCATGTCTGACTCTTTGCAACCCCATGGACTGTAACCCACCAGGCTCCTCTGTCCATGGGGATTCTCCAGGCAAGAATATTGGAATGGGTTGCCAAGTCCTCCTCCAGGGGATCTTTCCAATGCAGGGACTGAACCCAGGTCTCCCGCATTACAGGCGGATTCTTTACTGTCTGAACCACCATGGAAACCCAAGAACACTGAAGTGGGAAGCCTATCCCTTCTCCAAGGGATCTTCCCACCCCAGGAATCAAACCAGGGTCTCCTGCATTGCAGGTAGATTCTTTACCAGCTGAGCTACCAGAAAGCCAGAATGATGGAATGAACATATAACTAAGAAAAAGATATACTCATGATTACTATAAAATGTCTAGAACCAAACCACAGTAAAAACAACATACCAAACCTTGTGAAAGACAGTTACAATGCTACTTCAAAAGATGTGATATTAATATTGTGAATTAATATTAATAAACAAAGAAGAATTCAAAGTAAACAGCATTAAAAGGGAAGAACGTGGTTATTTAAAATAGGTAAAATATACAGTCCAGGAAGAACACTTAATAGTCATTAAATCTTGTGTCTTGAATAACACAAAAATAAAAATGTATAAAATGAAACTTTATATATTGTTACATACCATGTTATATATACACTCTAGGGTGTGGCTTGGAGGTTTGAGTTTGGGCCCCTCCTACCATGATCAGTGGCTGTCATGGGTGGGTGTGGGGCAGGCTACTTACTGAGAGAGGCTGGATGAGTGGCACTCCTGGTAGAAGGCTGTCTGGGGAAGACTGGGGGTCAGTCAGAACCCTGAACTCAAAGCCAACTTTCCCAGTGTTCTTGAGTGTGATTTCATTCTCTGTGACATGGTCGAACAGCTTGAGAGGAGAAAAAGGAACAGAGTGACTCCCCTGCCACCCACCCTCTGAGATTCTGCCGTCATCCTGACTGAGGTGGGTAGACAAGCATGCCTCACATACACGTATTTCATTTTCCATGAGGTGTGTGCTGTGTACTAAGTTCGTTCAGTTGTGTCTGACTCTTTGAGACCCCACGGGCTGTAGCCCGCCAGGCTGCTCTGTCCATGGGATTCTCCAGGCAAGAATACTGGAGCGGGTTGCAGGCCCTCCTCCAGGGGGTAGATGCTGGCCAATCCACATTTTAGTAGCACAACCAGGTGCCTCCTGGGTGGGAGGAGCACTGGACCCTGGAGTCTGGTTCTAGTCTTAGGTCTTCTAACAGCTAATTTAGTTTAGTACAGCTGTGGGTGACCTCCTTAGACCTCTTTCTTCACCACAAGGAATTCATATTAGAGGATCTTAAAGTGAGATTTTTTACATTAAGAAGATTTGGATAAGATTTGAGTTCAGAATTTTCTAGAGTGAATGTTTCTATTTTTACAGAGAGACATGGGAGAAATAGGCCAGACATGTTCTTTTTCCTGAGATTTTGCTAACACAATCCAAAAGGTCCAATAATCACAAACTGAAGCCACTTATGGGGCTCTTAGAATAAACTAGGGCAAGAACTAGCTGCTTCAAAGGAAGTACTCTGAGCTGAGCCAGAACCAATCACCCAGAAGACCTTGGAGATAAGGAGTGAAAGAGAATTCTATTTAGTCAACATGTCAATAGGTGTTGGGTGAATTTGATTTTCAGCACAGTCTTTAACTTATACATGTACACATGCAATTCAGTAATAATACATGCAGTGGCTATATAATGGGGAGTCTAATCCCCATTAAAATTTGGTAGGAGATACAGTATCTGAGTACATAACACTAATCCTAATTGGGAAGAGAAGCTGTACAGACATAGAAGTGACAATTATTCCAAAGCAAGATTTAGAAAGCACATTATATTATTATATTATGGTAAAGACTATACTTAAGTGCCAAGAGAATATAGTGCAGGTGGAAGGTAACAGAGGGATGGGGCTGAGCTGGGTCTCACAGTATGTGTGAGTTTGGAGTTGGCAGAGTGGAGGATGAAAGGGATAATACAACAGGAAAGATGGAGGCAGAAAGGGCTGGGGTGCATTAGGGCTAGTGGGTAAACCAGTCTGACTATAAATGAATAAATGGTTTATAGTGGGAAATCATGAGAAACAAAGTTCAATATGTAGGCAGTATCAGTTGACAGAGGGACTTAGGATACCCTTACCCAGGTGGAGGAACCTGGCTCTGATCCACAGAGTGACTCATGATTGAATGCATTCTCTGATCCAGGCACAGTACTGACAAGACACTAGAGAAACCATAACCACTTGGTAAAATAGGAATTGCTACCCCATTCCCACTTTATAGATGAGGGATGCTGAGATTTTGAGAGGCTGGTGACAGTCACAGTCAGTAGGAAGTAAAAGTAAGATAACCTCCCAGGTCTTCTGACCACAAAGCAATGTTCTCTTCTCTATGCTGCTTTTCCAAATGCTGCTGGGGTTAACTGTTCAGGGACTGATGGCATGAAAATGTAATCTGGGGAAATATATCTGACAGTGATATTTAGATGGGTTATAGGTAGAAGCCAGGAATGCATTGTAATCCCTTGTCTCCATGGGTCCGTGGACCAGCAGCATCGACATCACCTGGGAGCTTGTTAGAAATGCAGAGTCTCAGGCTCCATCGTGGACCTACTGAATCAGAATCTGCACTTGAACAGGACTCCAGGTGATTCGTATACACATCATAGTCTGAGTAGTAATTTAGGCATGGCTTGATGAGATCCTGGAGTGTGATAACTGCATTGGTGATGGGAAAGGAAAACCCAGAAGAATTATGCTTGATGAAGGAACAAACTCTGGAGGGTGTAAGGATGTGGGGAGGTGAGGGACACAGTGCAGTGGAAAATTCCATAGAGGTCATAAACTCAAGGGGCTGAGAAAGGAGTGGTCCTACTGAAAGAAAGCAGCTGGTGGGCTTTTGGATTGAGAATAAAGATCCAAATTTTAAGGTCTAACATGCAGAATTTGAGGAGACAATAAGAAAAGCAAGTGAAAATGTCTGCCACGTGGTTGGCAGTAGGAAGATGATCAGGGTTAGGAAGCAGATTAGGGATCAAGGACAGGGGTGATGGTGAGACTATGAAGACTGCAGGTTCCAGGAGCGATGAGAGCACAAGGATTTTGACCAATATTGAAGGCAAACCCAGAAACTCTCCTCCCGATGGCTGGCAATACCTGTAATCCATAGTTAATGTCCTTGGTGTCAAAGGAATAGTTGACCAGGGAGGCCTCTCCCCTTAGTATGATCTCATAGGTGGGTCCTCCTTCCACTTCGCACAGAGCCTTAGCCTGTGCAATGATGTCACAGTGTCCATAGAAGGTGAATGATATCTGGTGGCTACTGTGTGGCCGCAGCATTCCATAGAGGGGCAAAATATCAAACACCTGCAGAGAAAGTCATTCCACAGGAGGGTCTGCAAAGGGTAGGCTGAAGTTCAGCCAACTTACAGACTGACTCCTCACTTTACCTTGCTTGATTCTATGAAAGGTGACTAACTCAGCACTCTGAAAATATATGATGATAAGGCAGTAATAGTGCTTGGGAAAGTTTCAATTTCTAACTTGGGGGCAGGTGCTCAGTAAGAAGAGTTAGTATCAGATGACTTTAGGGCCCATGAGGTGTTAACTTACTTCTTCTACTCCAATGGACAACATTTCATCCTGTTCAAAGCTCCATGGGGATTCCTGAAACTCCCTGTGGCTCTGGTTCACGTCTATTCTTTCTGTTTCAGCAGAGTTCATTTTCAATCCCTAGGGATTTGAGGTGTGAGGAAAAACTTGTAAGCATTCATAATTTGTTATCAATGTGCTCCTCCCCTTCACTGACAGAAAAATGCAGTAGGTTGCATATATTTTAAAAATAGCACTTTTCCCCTCACCCACCCCCCCCCAACCCCCGCCACCGGCTGGGAGATAACTGGGCAAGTGTCCAAGATGTATGCACAAGGATGTTTACTGCAGTGTTATTTATAACAGCAAAACTCTAGAAGTAAACTAAATGCCTATCACTAGGCAGGTAGGGGGGTCGCTTTAAGTGAAGTGTGTGTGGTACCTCTATCTGTGGAGGATGATGCAGTGTGCGTTTATGGACCAGGGATGACACGCATTACTGAGTAAAAAAGCAGTTCCATTTGTGTAATATTCAGTTCAGTTCAGTAACACAAGTCATGTCCGGCTCTTTGAGACCCCATGGACTGCAGCACGCCAGGCTTCCCTGTCCATCACCAACTCCCGGAGCTTGCTCAAACTCATGTTCATCGAGTTGGTGATGCCATGCTACCATTTAATCTCATCTGTGTGATATTACATATGCCTATGTATCACACCTGCAAGTGTGAGTGTGTATAAATTCACTCAGATTTTCATATGCAAATAGAGATATCTGGGAGGTTAAGTTGCTAAAGTTTTTCTATGAGTGGTGTGATTTTGAAAATTTTTGCTTTCATTTTCCTATATTCTTAAGTTTTCTATGACATCTTAAAAATACACAGAAAGCTTAAAAGGTCAAAATACAAATCAATCATCAGGTTATTCTGCAGATTTATATATGTGTGTGTGCATAGTGTGAGTATATACAAATACATTTATATTCTGATTTTTCAGTTAACATTATAGCATGATTGACACCTTCCCATATGACTAAATATTCTTTACAGGCATAATTTAAAATACTTTAAAAAACAGAACATGTAGCATTTTCACTTAATGTACCAGGGATTACTCCAAATCGGTAAAAAGAAAAAAGTTCTCATTTTCTAAAAAAGGACTTCATAGTATTGCCTTGTTCAGATGTAATATATTCAACCAGTCTCTCATTGGCAGAATTAAGTGGTTTTCAATTTTTCTTCCTTTTTCCAATAAAGCTGCTATGTACAAGGACAGTTACCTGTCATTATATAAACCTAAAGGTATATGTGTAGAATAGTACTGTAGTAGAGGAACTGTGTATTTTAAATTTTGATGTGCTCAGTTGCTAAGTGATGTCCAACTCTTTGCAACCCCATGGACTATATCCTGCCAGGCTTCTCTGTCCATGGGATTTTCCAGGTGAGGATACTGGAGTGGGTTGCCATTTCCTTGTCCATTAAATTTTGATTCACCTGCGAAACTGCCTGTCAAAAAGGCTCCGCTAATTCACACCCCTACCTACAAAGTGTGAAAATGCTTGCTTCCCCCCACTCTGCCACTATTGAGACAAATCCTATTTTAAAAGATTGGAGATCATCATGGACACAAAGCAATTTATTTTCTCAATTCTATTTTTGCTATTTTTACATACACCTTTGTATATACATCTATGTATATACAATATACATATTGTATTGTATATTGTAATAATCATTCCTGATTATTTCCTTAGGCCATCATTCTAGAAGGAGAATTTAAGAGTATAAATTCATAAACTCTCTTGCTCTTTTTTTTTTTTTAACCATGTAAGACAGTTCTCCTTTTGTAGCCTCTATCTAAGGGCTGGGAAGAATGCATGATAGCCAAGGTCAAGGGAAACTGGCTTTTCTGTTAGTTACAGAGAAAATCTATGTGCTGAGGTGTCTGGGTTGTCACTGAGGTGATGGTTCTGTGGGTGTTTGGTTGGAAAGTGACCCGGAAAAAGATTCATAGCCCACTCGCCCCAGAGAAAGGAAACCATACGTCTGAGGTGGCCAGGGCAGGCACTTGTGCTTTTTTGTTTTCTCTTTCTTCAGATCCAACTTCTTCATCCACAATAATAGTCCTAGGGAGTTTAATGAAATGTGGAGAATCACTCATCCAGCCACCGTCACAACAGTCTCCAGCTGCATGACGGCCCTGTCTTCCTCTCCCCTCTGCTGCACCCCAAAGAACAAGTGAGGTTCTCACTCAAGAGACACTTTTCTCAAGCTGGTCAGTGCTCTGTTACTCCCTGCCCCAAACATGAAGTCCAAGGCATCACACTGGCCAATTTTCCAGAGGCCTCAACCCTTCTTTCCTGGCCTATGAAGCCCTTATCTGACTTACAGAAGTTCTCAAAAGCTTGGGCAACTCTTAAGACAATTTGGATGTGACCCCCAAGTGCTCAATGTTAAGCTTCATCATTTACTGGAACATTTTTATCGTGAGACTACAAGGTTTGGCCCATTGTCACATCCTTCTCTGCCTTCTAAACAAACTTGACCTGACCCTGGCTGCAGACCTTGGGCAGATGGAGAAGGCAACATGATAGGAAGGGCTCAGTCCCTCAGGAATCAGGAGGCTACACTCTCTGAGAGCAGAGATGATTTTTAACTCTGGATCCCAGATGCCCAGCAAAGGGACTAACTCATTACACTGCTGGAAGAATAAATGAAGGATATGAAGAATGAGTTTGAGAATATAATTCAGTGTAAAGAATGCTATTTAAAGAAACACATTGTGGCTTTGAGTTGGCACTTACTTAACAAAATCACTTAGGTCAATCTCAGGGGACTCTATTGCTGGGACTGCAGCCGAGCTGACAGATGCCAAGGTCACTGGGGTGGACTCCTCTTGGGACAAGGGGGCACTGTCGGGCTTCTTTGTCGCAAACCTACAAAACACAGGGTGGGCGGGGAAACACAGTCACGTCAGCTGTTGCAGGTCAGTGCCTGGTGGGCTCTTTCTTGGAGGCCAAACTCCAACTCCTAGACCAGGCAGGTCGAGATGGGACTGCCCCACCCCTCTCTTGGACTGACCTTCCTCACTTCATAACTGAGGTTTCACATTTTCCAAAAGTTTGCTGATCAGCCCCTTCCAATATGGGTCAAGTGTCTTTTCTCTGAGAACCCGTGGCCCCCGGGCTTCCCTCACACACTGTTCCCCCCGTTCCTGCTAGACCGTGAGCTCACTGGGAACTTGTATCTAATACGACCTCTAACACAGTGCATGGCCTGCAGGGGCACGCAGGCATAGCTCGGAATTATTGAGTCACTCGGGCTCCTGCTCCCAGCTTAGCAGAAAGCAGGATAAGGTTGTGAGGCACGCACTCCCAGGTCCTGGTAGTGAGGGCTTAGCCCTTGTGGGACCCCGCCTCCCATCATGCTTGCTCTGGGTGGCTTGACTGCCTCACCCTGGTCCTGGCCTGGCCAGTTTGCTTTGTCACCACTCAAGTTCTCAGAGCCCCCAAGGGCTGAGGGGGAAAGCGGGTGACTGCACCAGCTGGTACTAAAGGCCTTATGTACAGGTCTTATGTTCAGTTTTCACAGAAAGGACCTTATAAAGGCCAAAGTGGTGGGGTCACCCTCATTCTTACTGTTTTCCCAGGGTGTAAGGGCTTTTTTAAGGATACCTCCCCTCTCCCATCTCAGGCCCCTGATATTAATTTCAACCCAATTTCACTTAGATATTCATTCTGACCCCATGTGCTATCTACTTTATCTCAAGAGGTTCAGGAGAAATGTTATCTATTTTATGAAGCTCCCACCACTTCCCATATTCCTCTGAAGTTTCACAGCATTTCACGTGCTCATTTTTTAGGATACTGTCCATTTCACCTGAGTGCCATTTCCTAAACTTCAGATGTTCCACTACCCTCCAGCTTCATGATTTCTGCCTTGTTTAGTATCACTTAATAAATCCATTTTATTGAGGTATAGCTAACATTCACTTTAAACATACAGTTTGATGAATTTTTGCATATATGTATACACACACACACACACACCTTCCCAGTATAATTACTACCGTATTAATGTACATAGCACTTAAAATGTTCATCATCTTAAGACGTTCCCTTCTGCCTCTGCCCAGTCAACCCCCAACCCTGCCTCCAGATGAACACTCATCAGCTCTCTACCACTGTACATTAAGCTGTGCCTACAGTTTCATGTAAGTGGAATCCTAAATATGTACTCTCCTGTGTCTGACTTCTTTTGCTCAGCATAGTGGTTTTCAGAATCATCTATACTGTAGCAAGGGGCAGTAGTCTCTTCTTTTTCATCACTGAGCAGTATTCCACAGTATGTGTGATGACTAGAGTGTTTATCCATCATCGTGTTGATAAGACACCTTGGCTTTTTCCAGCTTTTAATACTATAAAATTGCTAAGAACAAATGAGTACTTGTCTTTCTGTGGACATTATGTTTTCATTCCTCTCAGGTAAATTCCAAGAAAGGGAACTGCTCGGTTGTATGGAATATATATGTTTAAAATTATAGGAAAGTGCCCATTTCCCAAAGTGACTTTACACCAATTTACACAACCACCCACAGTAATGAGAGTTCTGGTTGGCCCACGTCTTCACCCATACTTGGTATTCAGTATTTTAAATTGTAACTATTCAAATGAGTATGAAGTGAAGGCACATTGTGGTGTTAATCAGTAGGCTTATTTTCAAGAAAAACCTTGTATCATTACAGTAAATTAAAAACTAGTTTTATCTACCACATTTAGAAAAATCAGCATGATGGGAAAAATTAATGTCATTACTTTCTTGCCTGATGAAGACTTGAGTTGACTCCCGCTTGCTCTTTTCAAGAAGAGAGACGAGTTAGGTTTCCTCTTGGGGAAACACTGGACTAGCACCACCCAAGCACTGTGAGCTCTTGGAGGGCAGGGTTCAAAGTCTTTCCTCTTCACCACTCACAAAGCTCAGGGTCTTAGACATGGGGAATGAGCTCAGTACAGGTCTGACTGGATGGATGGATGGATAGAAGGATGGTTGAACAAGAACAGGTAGGCAGCATGCAGGGTAATTTAGCTCTTCTGCACCTCACCTCCATCCTCACCCAGGATGGCCTTATAAGAGCATGGAACAGCTCTTTTCATCTTCCACAAGCTTCCATTTGGCTCCTTTCAGGTCAGGTGTCTCTGGCTGACAATGTCTTGGGCTGAAATCATACCATTATAGGCAAAGGATAGAGGGACTGGGTGCTGGGAGGCTCATTAGACTCCGGAACCTCATCCTTGGATAAATTCTGATTCTTCAGGTCTCAGTAGGGCCCTGGAGTTAGATGTTTAATGTCTTCCCAGGTTGATTCTAATGTAGAGCCAAATTTAGGACCCATCGTGGGTAGGAAAAGCCAGAGGACAGTGAAGGGCTGGAGCTGATAATTAATGTGGGGCCGTCACTTAGTCTAACCAGCTCCGGACAGTGAAGACCAGCAGAGGGTGACTCGGAGTATTTATTAAATCACCCCAGGGCAGCAGACTCTCTGGGGAGACTCTGCAGGTCCCTGCCCCACATAACAGCACTCTTATTCAAAATTTGCACCCCCCTAGGATGTGGTTTGGATGAGGAAAAAAAGCATATGGGAATATCTGAAAAGTAAGAATAAAAAGCTGTAGAGAGTCTGCAGACCTGAGGGAAAACAACACCTCAGCTGACAATGCTACCTAGATATTGGGGAAGCAAGAGGTCTTTTGGAAACAAAGGAGACTGGTAAAGCTGCCCCACTGCTAACAGGCAGCAGACAAAGAAAGCTTCATCATAATGAAGGCTTTAACTTATCATTAAAATGGAAAACCTGCTTCAAAGAATTGATATAGAATATTGGGAGAGTTTTTTGGATCAAATTTCATCTTGCTCTCAGGAACAGATGATTACTTTCCTGTTATGCTGACCCAAACAGGATTAGATTCAGTTATTTTTAAAACAGAATGCGTGGCAAACAAGGAAAATCAATACTGCTCCAGTTGCAGAGCTGCCCAAGTCAGGATTGCTGAAGGAGCCAGCAAAGAAACCCTCCCCTCAGCTGTGACAGGGCTGTGTCAATGTCAGACACACTGTCCATCAGCCACACTGGTTTGGGCTCAGCGATTTCCTTTTTCATGTTTGATTTTCAATTCATGGGTAAATTACGATCGATGCAATCTTTTGTGTTACAAATTAAAAGAAGTCCACCACTCTTCTTTCCTGGTCTCCCTTCACCGGATGCAGTGTTCCATCAAAACAAAAACCCAAAGAACAGGCTGGTGTTTCAGGTAATGCTGTGTATTGTGGTTTATACCACATTTGGAGATGGAATGGTATACGTTGCACAGCCACTGAAGTCTCTGCGGTGCAGACAAGGTCTTGAAAAAGAGGGGTACCCTTGCAGTAGACAGTGACTTTTAATTTGCTGATTCATTGAAACTTGGATTCTGGGAACGTCCATATAAGAGGGTGAAAATGGCCACTGACTGGATAAAAAGGTCCTGCAGGTATGCTTTATTTGGCTCATGTTTAATATTTTTTGAAATTACTGACAGCAGCAGAGGCTGATGGTGCACAGGCCAGGTGCACTAGGACGATGCACCCATCCCTGGGTGCTGTGGGTGCTGGTTACGCCTTTCTCTGGAGCACTGCCCTGGCTCAGTGGGAGCTGCCTCACCCGCTCTGAGCTGCCTAGGAGGTTATGCTTTTCATCCCCTACAGTCTCAGCTATGCAGCTGTGTCCCACCTCAGCATGGGTGGGCAGTGGGAATCTGCCTTCTGGGTCACGATGAAGGGCTAAGGCAGGCTGTCCTCCCTTTGTGCATGTCTGCAGTCCACCTCTCCCGCTCATGTGGCAGAGCGAGTGCAGAGTGCCGATGGGGAAGGTGCTGAGCAAGTCCCATCTGTTTCGTCTGTCATTTGCTTCCCAATGTGGAAAGATCAGCAAGTATAAGACCACAAAGCCGGGCAATAAATATGGAAACGTGGCTGAGGTTTTGTGTTTGTGCTCAGAGAGGGTCCGAAATTTGCCTACTTTTAATGTGATTTAAAGTGATGATTATAATCTGCTCCCTTTAGCAGCAGGAATTGGGGGGGAGGGGTGCTATCTAATCTAGGGCAGTTTGCGAGGTGCAATGTTGGAGGAAGGGCAGGAAGGAGGGAAAGAGAGAGGGTGGTTTAAGAAATTGAGAGAAGCATAGGTCAGATAGCTGAGAGGAAGAATGGGAATGTAAAAAACCACCTGATAAGATCTAACAAGTAAAGATGTGCTGTTTGCTTAATGTAGCACAGATTATAAATTCAAGCAATGGAAATAGGAGGTATAATTGTAGGAGAAAATACCTCGACAATGAAATCAGTCTTGTTGAACAGCACACATTCATAACCTTGAATTGCTGGAATACCAACCAGACCTCCAAATCATGCTAGGAGCACTGATGGGACACCAGTGGCTGCCGTGGGTCATTTTCTCATTTTGTTTTCATAATTAGGGGAGGGCAGGGAGCAGAAGGCTTGACCCTGAAGGGCCTTGTAAGTCTCACTAAGGAGCTGACTTTATCCTCAGGAAAATGGGAAGTCTTCCAAAACGTTTTAAATGGGGAAGTGAAATGATCAGTAAGTTCATTTGGGCTGTAGAAAGGGGCAGGGATTTGAAGGGGACAGCCCTAGCATGACCAAACCTGTGAACCATGCCGTATACAGTGATGGAAAATACAACCCAATGGGATGTTTTCTGTTTTTATATTGTTATTATTTTTTTAACAAAGTAAGAATCAGGAAGCCCACACAGGAAACAGTGATAGACATTCAGACAAAAGATAATGGCGGTCTTGGTCAAGGAGGTGGAGATGGAGATGGAGACGGAGCGGGACGCCCCTGTGCAGATTAGGAGGTGGGACGGCAGGACCATGGCCCT